AAAAAAAAAAAAAAAAAAAAAAAACCCAGTAGAATTATGATGTGCAGAGGGGTGATATGTCCCCTGGAGAACTTGAAGGCAGGGGAGGGGATAGGAAGGGGCCTGTCAGGGCAGGGCTCTTTTGAGCAGAGGTGAAGGGAGGAGCCATGCTAATACCTGGATTAGCCCAGAGGGACTAAGCAGCTTGCCCCAGGTCACACAGTGAATAACTAGAATTGACCTCAGAGCAGGAACCATCAACCACTGTGGCATGCTGCCACTCTTGTCCTGCCAGGTACACAGCAGAATCATTATTTTGAGACCTGGACCACCACTGTCCCCACATCACCTTCACTGCCTGCCAACAAATTAAAGAGTCAATCTCTCCTCCATTCCCTGAAGCGAAGACAAGACAGGCCTTCTTGTAGGGCATGCAGTAGATGGGCCATCAAGAGGGCCTCCTGCGGGGACTCACCCAGAGAGCTCCTGGACAACGCCAAAAACCCCTCCGTAGCTCAGCAAGCCACCTCCTCCGAGCAGCCCTCCAGAGCCCAGGAGGCCCTGGTTCACAGATGTGACTGTCCCCAACACGTTCTGCAGAATGGGTCCCCCAACCAGTGAGTTCTGGATGGCTGCAGAAAGGGTGGAAGTAGGAAGATGCTAGAACCCCTTCCTCACCCCCAGGACCATGGCATCTACCTGCTCCTCTGAGCTTGAGTAGATCTCTTTTTTAATGCAATTAACCCAGAGTTTACACTCAAATGGTGGACCGTGGGGCCAGTGGCCACCCTCCTTGCCTGACACATGGGAGGTACTAAGTAAGTGTCTGTGGAATGGTGAGTGTATCCCATGATAATCCCTTCATTTTACAGATGGGGAAACTAAGGCCCAGAGAGGCACAGAAACTTGCCCAAAATCACACAGCAAAAGCGGGTTTGGGACCAATTGTATAAGTTGGGCTCCCAATCCTGGGCTGCCCTGCAGCACCAAAAGAGAGGGCAGAACTGAAGGAGAGGGAGCTCGTAGCCACCAGGGGCTTGATCGAGATGGAGGAGGTGACCCCTCCTCCTCCTGGGGCACCCCAGGCCTGACTGTGTGGATTGTGAGAAGACAAGATGGACAGGACTGCCCCATGGAGGTTGGGGCAGGCCAGGGTGGCCTCCTTGGAGCATTTCCTATTTACAGCTGCTCCACTCCATCTCTGAGACTGTCATCATGGGCCACTGGGCCCTAGAGCACCAAGTGCCAGGTAGAGTTTCCCCCACCCCAGGAGTGTGGGGCTGGAGCATTTCCTATTTACAGCTGCTCCACTCCATCTCTGAGACTGTCATCATGGGCCACTGAGCCCTAGAGCACCAAGTGCCAGGTAGAGTTTCCCCCACCCCAGGAGTGTGGGGCCAAGACACTGGCTCAGCCAGCACCCTCCCCTTGACCTCCTCAACCCCACCCTGTCCCCATCCCTGAGCACACACAGCCCCCACACAGCCTCAGCCCATATCACCCAGTCCACCTCTCAGAAGAGTGAATTAATCACCCTGCAAGCAAACCTTCAGAACACCCACCACTACTCCCAGTGTCCCAGGAGAATAATACACTCTCTAAGCAGTCGAGAATTGCAACCCATTCCCACCTGTTTCTTAAAGCAGACCTTCTGGGCGCAGCAATGGTCACTGACATTGTGGCTGGACCCCTCACAGACTGTGCACCTCAGACTCACCTTTGCCAAGTTCATCCTTGTCAATTCGAGCCAGCGTGCCCACTGTCTCAAGCAGCCCCTGGCACGGGGTCACCAGGCCCCAGAGCAGAAGCAGGGACCAAAGGCCCAGCATCGTCAGCTGCACACCTAGAGGTGGCAGAAGCAGGAGCTCTGAGACACTCCTGGTGCCCTAGTCTTTCCCCTCCTTGTTCCCATCACCAACCTGGGCCCTCCCACCCACCCAGCACAGCCCAAGTCCAGCTTCACTCCCAGAAGTGAAGTCTAGCTTCACTTCTCCACCTAAGCACATGGTACAGCTTCCAATGCAAGCTAGTCTCCCAGGCACTTTTCAAACCTTTCCCTTATCTGATCCCATTTCACAGATGGAAAAACTGAGGCTGAGAGAGGAAACTTAACCAAGGCCACAGAGCAAATCAGCGATGGAACCAGAATTCAAGCCTGAGTCCATCTGACTTAAAAGTCTTAGTCTCTGCACCCCCAGCCCGCCTGGCCCAGTCTCAGGAGTGAGAGCTACAGAGGGGCCCCCCCTTCCAGGACAGCAGGATGGGGGCTCTCTTTCCTGGACCTGCCTTCCCACTGGCTCATGAGGACATTTCAGAAGGTGTGGCTGATTGGGGACATCCAACACTTAGCTTAACATATCCTGTCTCTCTCTTTCTCCCCCATCTTCATCTCAAATGTTGTTGAAAAGGGAATGGGACTGGAGGTGGGGGCATGGCTAATGTACTCATTTCATAGAGTGGGACTTTTCTTTATGGAGTTCCATACCTGCCCACTTGATCACATACCCATCTATCCCCTCATGTCACCCCTGCTTAAATCCTTCCGTGGCTCCCCCTGCCCTTAGGATAAAACCCAGGCTCCTTGCCATTACCCACAAAGTCCCTGCCTGCCTCTTTGACCTCCTCAGTCTTAAACATACCGATCCCCTTCCCACCTCAGGGCCTTTGCACATGCAGTTCCTTCTGTTAGGAAGGCTCTTCCCCTGGTTCTCTGTATGACTAACTCCTTATCTTTCAGGTTCCGAGTAAACATTGCCCGCTTGGAGAGGTCTCCCTCCTTTCCCTTGTCCAAAGAAGCCCATCTGTCACTAAACATCACCCAGAATATTTATTTTAAGGTGCTTATCACAATTTGCAATAAGGCAGGATGTGTTTGTGTCCTGGTTTGCCATCTCTGTAGGCACCACAAGCGGGGACTGTGTCTAGGGCTTCCACACATGGCTGTGTGCTGGAGGATGCATCTGTCCAGGGGGCAGGGGTGGAAATCCCAAGCCATTCACTTGCCACCTACTTGCCCTGGTGCAGGCCGTGTTTGCCTAGAAAAGGCACCTTTCCCTCATTTGCACAAAGGTACCATATGGCGCCATATAAACCAGCACCAATCTTGGCTGTGTCTGTCTTTTTTCCCCAAGACTCGTCCCACAGTGGCTCTCTGTACCCTCCAAAGTCTCTCACAGACGGATATACCCCCATGATGGGAAGGCAGTTGGTCTAAGCCAGTGGCTTAGAGAAAAACAGGCCCCCCTCAAACCTAGTCCATAGGATTCTGTCCCCAGTCGCCCGTCCGTACCATGCACTTGTACTACAAGCCTTTGCCCCTCTCTGGGCCCAGAACCTATAAAATGTTTGTTTGTTTGTTTGTTTGTTTCTTCTGACACCTTTAGGGTGAATTCTTTCTGTGCCCACTATTTAGATGGGACAGCAGAAGGTCACAGGGTCAATGGCCCAGGATCAGAACAAGGCCAGGGCTGCCTCTGCTGCCTTACCCGCTCGCTCCTGCAGCTCCACAAGGGGTGGGTGGGGGTTCCCGGCCTCCTGTCGGTTCCTCCACCCACCCGAGCTCAGGGGTGGCCCTTATATGCCCACAGAGGCTCTAGGGACACAAAGGGGGCACAGCCGCCAGAAACCCGTCAATATGTCATGTCAGAAGCAAATTGTGGTTTTCCCTGAGGCCCTGGGCTAAGCCTTCCTTCTTGGGGGAGAGTGAGGGGGCTGGAGTTGGTGCCCAGGAGTGGGAATGAAGTCATGGGTGAGCTGAGGTGGGGGCAGGGAGTGGGGCTCTGCACCCACCCATTCAGCCACCTATGGAGCTCCCTCCAGGGTTCCCCAAGAGCCACCCCAATGGCATAAAATCCACCCTGCCTCTGCCCACCCTCCTCACAACACAGGCCAAGGAGGGAAAGAAGGGGCTTAAGGCTGCTGGGTCTTCTGACCCTCCACCACCCCCTCCTCAGGCTTAGCATGGAGATGGTCTTGAGCCTGGCAGGAGGAACTCTGGGGAGACTTGGGGGAAGGACACCAACTCCACCCCCACCTCCCAAGACCCAGTTTCTCCAGAATTCCGGAGCAGGTTGCTTTGTCTCCTTTCTGGAGACAAAGCAACCTGGTCCAGAGGGTGTAGAGAAATTCATTTATTCATCCACCCATTCATTCATTCATCCATTCCACAGCAGGCATGTGTGGAGCACCTACGGTTTGCTAAATGCTGGGGATAGAGCCATAAACAAGAGGCAAACCCCCTGCTCCGAAGGAGCTGACCGGTAGAAATACAATGCAATTAAAATTTTTCTAGTAGCCACATTTTTAAAAAAGGTAAAAAGAAGCAGGTGAAATTAATTTTAATTAATTGTTTATTTAACCCAATATATCCAAAATATTATCACTTAACATAAAATCAACATAAGCTATTAATGAGCTACTTTACTTCCTTCTTCTCATACTAAGTTTTCAAACTCTGCTTACAGCACACCAAGAGTTGGACTTGCCACATTTCAAGCAATCGCCTTATGTGGCTACTGGCCATTGAGTTGGACAGCACAGCTCTGGAAGGAACAAATACATCCATGGCAGCAGCTAATGACGAACATAAAGCAGGGAAGGGGCTCAGGAGAGCAGGAAGGGGGCGTGAATTCAATATGGTGGTCGGGAAAGGCCTCATATTGCAGCAGGGGTAGCTTTTGACCAGAAGGAGAAGAGGGAAGGAGTCAGATGGACATCTGGGGAACAGCCTGCCTGGCAGAGGGAAGCCCAATGCAAGGGTCCTATGGTGGCATGCTCCAGGAGCAGCAAGGAGCCCAGTGTGGTTAGAGGGGACGGGGGATGTGGGGCCAGGGGGGCGGTGAGGCCCTGCAGGGTACTATAAGGATTTACGGACTTTGGCTGTTATTTGCAGTTCTCCTGCAGGTATCAGTTCAGGCATCCCCTCCTCCAGGAAGCCTTCCTGACCCCCAAGCCGGATGAGGCACCACCTCTGTGCTCCCCTGTGATTTCCTCTCTCCCAGTCTGTGACATGCCACGCTGTGTGTCTGTGCATCTGTGGGTCTGTCTCCTGCAGGGCCTATGAGCCCCTGGTGAGATGGGGAGGAGGGACGGTGTTTGCCTTGTTTACTCAGTAACCTCTGAACCCCTCATTCCACAATGTTCCTCCTGATGGCTTCAGGCCCTGAGCCAGGTTACTCAACCACATCACATTTTTTACAAAATAAACCTTTTATTGAAATATAAAACACACCCTGCAAATATATACAATCAATTAAGTTTCAATACAAACACATTTTTTTAAAAGAAATATAAACATATAGAAAAGGGCACAGATCACAGTGCACAGCTCAATGAATTTTTACAAACTGAGCATTCCAGAAGTCCCCCATTGTGTCCCCTCCAAGTCACTGCCCCTCCGGGTGAACACCATCCTGACCACTAACACAATGAATGAGTCCAGTATGTTCCTGAGAGTCACATAAGTGCATCACACTTGTGTGTGGCTTCCTTCACACTTTATGTCTGTGAAATTCATTCGTGTTGTCATGCGAGGCTATATTCCATTCTTCTCTGCTGTGTACTACTCCATTGTGTGAAGGCCCCACGATTTGTTCATCCATTCTCCTGCCTGGAGGCACCTGGGCTTCCCAGTTATTGGCTATTATGAATGAAGCTGCTATAAACATTCTCGTGAAGGCTCTTTGTGGACATATGTTTTTAGTTTTCATTTCTCTTGGGTCACTAGCTCAGAGCGGAATTGCTGGATCACAGCACTGTGTGTGCATGTTTAGCTTCACTAGCTACTACTCTGTTCCCCTTGGTGGCCACCATCACACACTGCCACCCGGGTCTGTGAGAGTCACCACTGCGACTTCACAGACTCACCAGCACTGGGTAGCACCAGTGTCTTTATGACATTTGTTTGAAGGAGGATGAAGAAAAGCTAACACTTAGCAATTACTGAGCACTTCCTGTGTTCAGGCACCTGAGATGTAAACAACACCAGGTCATCACCATAACCTAGTGAGGTCAGTCCTTTTATTATTTGCCCATCTTACACTCCAGGAGCCAAGGCTCAGCAAGGGAGTGGCTTGCCCGAGGTCACACAGGATCCTGCCAGGCCGTCTGACGCTAACACTCACCATCTTAACCACTGCCCAGCCCAGCCTCCCAGAAGGGAGGAAAATGTTATCTAGTTTCTGACCGGCCTTATCTTCCCTCTTCCTTCCAGACTCTACCCCATGGGGACTCTGATGCCCACCAGCTCCCCAGGCATCCCCATATCCCCTCCTGCACTGAAGCCGGTCAGGGATTGGGCCTGCCCATGGAGAGGGATTTGTTAAAACACCTGTCTCTGGGCCCCATCTTTGGCAATCCTGACTCAACAGGCTGGGGTGGAGGGCCTGGAACTGGCATGTTTAGCAAGCCTCCAAGGGCAATTGATAGGCAGCTCTTTTGAGAACCCTGGTGAGGGTGATGGGAAGCCAAGAGGGGATTAGAGCAGGGAAGGTCTGGACAAGGAGAACTACCCCTGGGGATTATCTCCTAGACGGAAGGCCCTGGAGCCGGAATTCCTATGTTCAAATACCCGCTCTCTCACTCACTACTGAGTGACAAAACTTGCAGAGCCACAGTTTCCCCATCTGCAAAATGGGCTGATATTAAGGGTGACCACCCTCACCTGACTGGTCAGGCTATGAGGACAGGTATCCTGGAAATGGATTTTAGGGCATCAAGGGAGGGGAGTCAAGCACACCAGAGAAATTCGGATGATGGTAAGATCCCTGGGAGGCCTTCTCGGAGGTTCTTGAGCTGAGAGTGGGCTGCGAAGGGAGAAGGCAAGGCAGGTGGTGAAGGTGTGGTCACAGGTATGGGAACATTGTATGGTCTTCATCTTCCCAGGAGATCAGGAGCCATGGGCCCAGGATCGAAGCCCGGCTCCACTCACTTCCCGCTGTGTGACCTTGAGCCTCAGTTTCTTCAGAGGAGGCTGCTGCACCCCACTACTGAGAGGGTGTGCAGGAGCAAGGGAGAGACTTGGACTCAAGCAGACAGGGTTCGAGTCCAGCCCCATGCACGCTGCATGCCCTTGGGCAGGTCGCTTCATCTCTCTGAGCCCCACTTCTTCATCTAGGGCTGGGGGAGTCTTGTAAGCTGAGCAGTGCCCAGGGGGCCCAAACTTCCACCCCCACCTCCACAAGGTGTGGGGTCACAGTGCAGGGCTTCCCTTGCCAGCTCAGCCCCCTTTTCTGCCCAGGGTGGATCTGGAGTAACTGACCACTCAACGACTGTTGAAATCAGGTTAGACTAGGTCAGCACATCCAACTCCATTGTCATTGTACAGACGGAGAAGCTGAGGTCCAGAGAAGATCTGTGGCTTGTCCAAGGCCATACAGCATCTAAGGCCTGGCAAGAGCCCAGGACTTCCAATTCTAACAGCGTTGTGGCTCTGCACACTGGGCCTGGAAAGGGTGGCAGTGTGGCTTGGATAGCCATGAGTGTACTGTGTGACCATCCAAAGGGGTGCTGGGGGAGCAGAGGGGTGGAGCTGGCATGCCTGGGTCAGGTGTCTACCACCCAGGATTACCCAGGCTTCTGTACCTGCCAGGCCTGCCTCAAGGCTGCCATTGTCCCAGAGCTGGGGAGGTGATAAGTGACAGGATTAGGGCTGATGGTGAGGGACAAGGGGACAGCCCTGGCATCTGGGCTAAGGCAAGGGAGGGCCCTTCCTCCTCTGTGGCATGGGCCTGCGCCAGGCTGGGGCAAGGCCCACCTGCCAAGGCCCCGCAGGCTCCAGGAGTGCCGTCCTCCTGCCCAGGCCTCTGGCCACACCACACCACCCACAGACACACACATGTGCCCAGACACAGGCCCGCCCACACTCACAGAGGCCCCAGACCCTCCACATCCAAAGACTCGTCCCATGGAGACACTCTGACAGATGCACACACCAACATTCAGACACACGGTCATGTAGCCAGCACCCAGTCATTTCTGGGGCTGGGGCCCCAAATGATCATAGGAGGCCCCTGATGTACATGTTTTTCCCAGAGCTTTCGATTTTTGTTTTAACATACTAGCAAGTGACACTGATTTGGAGGGTCTACTTAGAATACATTTATTTTAAGATGTATTTTTAACCTAATTATGTGTAAACATCCATTCTCTTTAAAAAGGAGTCAATTTGAAGAATAGCATCCATGTGACTCCCAGGAAAGGTGATAGAGACAGATGCGGCAAATGTCAGGAACTGATCCTCTTGTGAATGTGGGACACAGGCTACATGTGAGTGACCTTGGGAACACGCAGACACGCAGACACAACAGACGCCAGGCCTCTCACACACAAACCTCCACAACTGGCCCCTTGTGTCTGCAAGACCCTCCCCCCGGGCCTCCTAATCCAGAGGGCATTTATACACTGACACGTGCCCACAGATACATCCTGGCACACAGCCACACTCCAACTCAGAAATCCCTGTTCACGTCTCTCCGCCTCAAAGACCCACCGTGGCTGACATTTATTGAGATCTACTGTGTGCCAGGCGCTGCACTAAGTACTGTTCATGGTTTGATTCATTTAATCCTCACTACAGCCCTGCTGAGTTGGTGCTGCTATCATTCACATTTTACAGGTGAGGAAACCAAGGCTCAGACTGATGAAGTGACTTGCAGGACACACAGCAGCGAGGAGGCAGAGGCAGGATTTGAACCCAGCAGGCTGGCTCCAGAGCCTGAATTCCAATCCCATCTCCACCCCATGACTTGCTAAGTGGCCTCCAGCCATTGTTCCACCTCTCTAGGCCTCAGTCTCCTCATCTGTGAAATGGAGACAGTCCTCACATCCCTTGACTACTCTGAGGATTAAAGTAGGTGACACAGGAGAGATCCTTGGGGTTCAGGCTCCCTGTGAATAGAGCCATCGTCAAGTTACCAAGATTTGGGGACACAGAGCTAAGGTGGAAAGAGCTTTGCCACTGGCTAAACTGTGTGACCTTGGACAGGGGAGTTGATCTCTTTGTGCCTCAATTTCTTCACCTATAAAGTGGGGTGACAACACTTGCCCGCCCACCATCAATTAAATTAAAGATTAAATGAGATGGTACAAGAAAAGCCCTGAGCATGGCATTTAACAGTTCCTCAATATGTGACCAGCTACTGCCTCAATTTCTTCACCTATAAAGTGGGGTGACAACACTTGCCCGCCCACCATCAATTAAAGATTAAACGAGATGGTACAAGAAAAGCCCTGAGCATGGCATTTAACAGTTCCTCAATATGTGACCAGCTACTCTGCAGACCCCAAGCTGGTCTTAGACTCCAAATCCAACCAAAGGAGAAGAAAAGCCACATGTCAATTTGCTACAAACAAAAAGACCAAATCATCAGATGTTTGTAAGGGCCTTTCCCCTGTTTATTGCAAAGACCCCAGCCTAGGCCTGCCCTGCCCAGTCCTGATCAAAGGAAGCAGCCACCAGTGGTAAAGGGCCAGGTCCACCTGGCTCCAATCAGGGGGGCTCCTCCACGGGGTGCAGTCGGTTGGTGGTGGGTGGGCAGCTGATAAGGAAGTCCTGCCACGGTCATTCCAGCTTCAAGTCTAGCACCAGGCCATTCTGGCAGGAGGCAAAGGGCAGGGGTGGGGGTGGGGGAGCAGTAATACGGGCCACCAGGCACAGGGAGAGGGTGGAACTGGGCCCATTGCCAGGGAGTGGAAACCAGTGTGGTGTTTAAGCAAAGGTTGAAATAGACTCAACTTGTGACCCCAGGGAGGTCCCTTCAACTCTCTGAGCCTCAGTGTTCTCAACTATCAAGTGGAGACAAGCACCCCTCCCTCCCAGAGTGGAGCAATCAAATGAGAAAAATGTACATTTAGCACTCCAAACTCAAAGCTTGACGTGCAATGAAAAACTAATATTTACTGAGCACTTACTGTATGTCTTTTGGTGAATTATCTCAATGAATCATAGCAACAGTCCTATGAGCTCTATACCCATACCATCATCTCCATTTTAAGCACAGGAAAACAGAGGCAGAGAGAGGTAAGTGATTTTCTCAAGGTGGCAGAGCAAGAGAGCAGCAAGTTCAAGTATGCCTGGCACACCCTGGCAAAGGAGGATCACAGGTTCTGAGAGGGGCAGGGTCTTGCTCTTGAGATTGGCAGGATTATACTGATGGCCATGTGGCCTCTCCAGCCCCACTCCCTCCAGTTTGAGAGAAACAGGTTCTTGCTCATCACCCAGTGGCTGAAAGTGTTGATTGACATGGCCTCCCTCAGACCCTCCCCTCACCTCCACGATGTGCAGCTCAGCCAGGTTGTAATTCATGGCCAGAAAGTCTGGGAGCGGGAGTCCAACTTGGAGCACATCTGAGAAATACAGTAAGAGTCATCTCAGCCTGACTGCTCTGCAGTTGATTAAGGAGTGGCTGCCTGGAGCAGAGTAGTGGGAAGTAGTGCAGTGATTGATTCACCATGTCTGCCAGCAGTATAGGCAGAGAGCACTTAAACCAGCTCTACCAAGGGTTAATATCCCAGGTCAAGCTCTCATTCAAGATATGGGATCAAGGGTCAGAGTCTCAATTACGGAAGAAGCCTTTGTCCCCAGGCAGGTAACATTCAGACTACATTAGACTCCAAGATTCAGCAATGACCACCCATCCTCTTCTAGCCTCCCCTATCAGGAGCCAGGGATGGGGCTTTGAGATCACCCAGGGGGCATCCTTTCTTGCTTAAGGTGCCTCTTGGCATCAGTAAAATCAAAGCTTGTCGGAGCCCTCACCATTGATGACTGGGATGTAGGCTTCTCGGAGATAATCAGTGATGAAGCCAGTTAATTCCTTCTCCTGAGGGAGAGAAAGAAAGAAAAAACATCCACATCCCATCCTTCAATTTGGTTCAACCCGATCCAACCTGAATCAACAGATCTTTTCTGCCTTCACTCTGGCTAGGTCTGGGGACCACAGGAATGAATATTAGAGTCATCAAATAGCTTGTCCAGCTAGCGTCAAAACTGGGCCCTGTCCCGGCTCTGTTTGACTGTAGGCCTATGCCCTTTACCTCTACTTAGTCCCTGTTCAGGTGACACGTGGGGCCTTGGGTTATGGTGCAGGAAACAGGAGGTGGCTCTGTGGACCCCACTCTTACTCTGACAGAAAACTCAGTAGCTTTAATCAATCATTCATTCACCACCTCTCTCTACCTTAGTTTCCCCATCTATGGAAGGGAATTATAATAGCACCTACTCACAGAGGATTAAATGAGGTTGGGTAAAGCACATAGCACAGAGTAAGTGCTGTTGTTGTTGTTTTTATTATTATTAGCACCTGCTGGGGTCAGGTTCTGTATTGGGCTCTGAGGCTACAGAGTTAATAAAAACAACGGTGTGGCTAACCAAGGCAGCCCAGGCTGCCACTATCCAGGGCAATGTTTTTAAAATCAATCCAGAGAGATGTCCAGATTCTATCTAGAAAAGGAAACAGGGACTCAGAGAGGCTAAGAGACATTCCCAAGCTCACTCAGTAAGTCAAGAGCCCCAAGCCTCACAACAGCCTAGCTCTATTTACCCTGCCTCCATTTCAGGGCCTTTTCCTGCAGTCCAAGGGAGAATGGACCCAGTCCTGACCTCGAGCCAGACCAGGCAGAGCATTTGGGACACTTACATTGAAGTTACCAATAGATGAAGACTCCCGGGACAGGCTCAGTAATCTGTGGGAAGGCAGAAGCACCAGGTTGGGGGTGGTCAGAGCTACTGGCCCTGGCCCTGGAGATCCTAAGGGGAATCCTAAACATCCCAAAGCCTCCCTGATGCGGAATTCCCACTGCGGCCTTCAGACAAGGTGCTCATAAGTCTCTGCTCACTTGTTACCTGTGGTGGGGCACTTACCACCTTTCATCACAGCCCATTCTATTTCCCAAGCTCCAACTACTAAGCTTTCCTGTTCCTCCTCTCACTTGACTGTCCCCGCTGGGCCTCCCAGTCATGTCTATTTCTCTAACCTAAGGCCAGCTATGCAGAGGTTTACGGCTCGACTGGTCAGTCTCAGATCCTTGCAGGACACGGAGTAGGAGCCCCCCACCCTGCCCCTCCCCTGCACTGCCTCCAGCAGACACTAACACATGCTGGCACCAGACAGGCCACACGATGGTCATCTGGTGGCTCTACCTGTCTATTCTCTATGCCAGTAACAGACCCTCTGTTTTCCATTCTCATTTCAAGTTATTCAGGTGGGGCTGAACCCAATGCCCCAAGAATGAGCATATGACCCAAGCCTGGCCAATCAGAGCATCCCATCTCTTGGTGACAGGGATTGGCTTGAGTTGTTCATGTGACCCAAGCTAGACCAATGAAAAGCAGTCTTGGTAATTTTGTTAGACCGTTGGACAAGAGGCCTTTCTTGCTTTGGGGGTCACTCTCCCACTGTGTGGGGAGAGGCTGCTTGAAAATTTAACCAACGAAGTGGATAGCAAAGGCACGGGGAGGAGGAAGGCAAACTGTTTGCATGCCTGGATCCAGCCATGCCTGAAGGCAGACCTACCCCTAGAGTTTTCAATTATGTGAGCTGAAAGATCCCTTTCGGGGTTAAGTCAGTTAAAGGTGGAATTCTGTCTCTTGTGACTGAAAGAATCCTGACATAATACAAGTCAGATTGATTATTAAGGCAATACAAGAATTAGGAGTGGCTGAATGTAAGAGACATTCCCAAGCTCACTCAGCAAGCCTCACAGCGGCCTAGCTCTATTTACCCTGCCTCCATTTCAGGGCCTGAATGTAAGGCTAAGATGTTAAATGTGTGCTCCCCTCAGAGTAGAAGCATGAAGGAGGATAATAAATATAATGTATGTAGCCAGAATCTCACATATAGAGTGAGCTCAATAAATCTTAGCTGTTATTAGTATAAGAAAAGGCTTCCTGGAGGAGGTAGCTTTGAGCGGGGCCCTGACTCTCAGGTGGCATTTCGATGGCATAGGAAAAAGCCTATTAATAGAAAAGGAGACATGGGCCCGTGACCAGACTCACTGTGAAAGAACGTAGTGGAAGAGTAGGGGTAGAGGAGGAGAACTTAAGAAAGGCCTTGAATGCCAGGCTAAGATTTGAAAAAAGATCATGCAGATAGTGGGGAGCCATGGAGGGTTCTAGAGCAGGGATAGTGACCAGAGCAGCCTGGGAGTGTGGGCTGTGCTGGATGGATCAGGGGAGAGCCTGGAGCAGGAAGCCAAGTGGTGTTGGTAATGCCCGTGCAGGGGTCCAGGGATGCCAACATGGGGCTGCAGGCTCCTACCTGTCCAGAGAGGTGACCATCTGCAGCCGGTTCTCATGCACTGAGTACTGGATTTTCAGATTGAAATGCTGGCATCAGGGGAGGAAGCAGACAGAAGGCAATGGCCCCCCCATCAGGACTGGCAAAGCCAGAGACTGTACCACCTTCCCAGTACCACCACCACTGCCAAGACAAAGCAGGGGTCCTTCTCTCTGCCCATCACATTCCCAGGAACCGACCCCAGCAGTCTCCCCACATCTCCAGCCCAGGCTCCTCATCTCTCCTTGTCCCGGACTCGGACATCACCCCCCAAAATACCTGGCAGCATTGTAGGTCCCTGCACACACTGTGTTACTTCTCCAGGCCTTTGCACATGCCGTAACCTCTGCCTGGAGTGTCCTCCAACCCCACCCTCACCAACACCAACCCCTTCCCTAGCCAGCTCTTGCTTGACCTTCAAACCATAGCTCAGCTATCACCTCCTCTGGGAAGTCCTCTGTGATTTCCCCAAACTGGACTTGGGGTCTCTCTAGGCTCCATAGTTCCCTTGGTGAACCCTTCACTGTCTTTGTGGATGCTAATGAATGTTGGAGGGAGAGAGGAGGATGGAAAAGAAAGGAAAGACTAGGCCATTAATCCTCAGTTTGCTGATCTTTCCAGCCACTCAAAAGTTCAGTGGCAGAGCCAAGGGCCAGACACCAGGTGACAGTTCCTGGGAGGTTAGGACCACGCAATTGAGATTAAGAACACTTCACTACTTGGCTGTCAATTAAAATCCCTCTATCCAGCCTTGACTATCCATGAGGTTGAGAATAAATGGGGAACATATCCCACTCACAACTTCCAGGAGAAAGAGGGACACAGGAGGCTTGCCCCGCCGCCGAGCTGCAAACATCTCCAGGGTGCTGTGGAGTTGCAGCAGGCTCTTGCCTGTCTTCATGGTCACCTTGGGGGGCTTGTTTATCCTGATATGTGTCACCAAGTGCTTTGGCTTGGGATAGGCCTTAGCCACCTACAGAAACCAGAACACTTCGCTCAGGACCAGTCCTTAGACTGGTGGCTTCAGTTGAAACCGGGAGTCCCTCATGAAATACATGATTTCTACCTTGGACACAGGAAGTACGACATGCAAAGGCTGGGATGTATCTATCGGGAAACAAGAGGAACAAAACACACAATTTGGTTTGTTCTATATTGGACATAGGAACTACAATGCACAAAAGCTGAGCTGTTCCATGCTGGACCCAAAGAGCACTCTATGGAGAAGTCAGGATGGTTCTACATTGGACTAGAGACATCTGGCATTGAAGAGCTGCCTCCGAAATCTCTCCCCTTTAACTGGAGAACAGGGCAGGGCAGGGTGTGGTGATCATGGGCAATAGGGGCACTCACTTTAGGGATGAAGGCAGCCAGTGTCTTAGTGGTTTGTGGGGGCAGCTTACCAACCTACAAAATAAAAGTGCTGGACCCAAAGAGCACTCTATGGAGAAGTCAGGATGGTTCTACATTGGACTAGAGACATGTGGCATTGAAGAGCTGCCTCCGAAATCTCTCCCCTTTAACTGGAGGAGAACAGGGCAGGGCAGGGTGTGGTGATCATGGGCATTAGGGGCACTCACTTTAGGGATGAAGGCAGCCAGTGTCTTAGTGGTTTGTGGGGGCAGCTTACCAACCTACAAAATAAAAGTTAAAGTTAGGATTACCGAAGCCTTCCCTGACCCTTCCTAACAAACATCTCCTCTGACTCAATAAGGTGTGCCCTTTGAGGCTCCCTTTATCACAACAATTATTACTCTGTGCTTAAGTAGATAATGAGCTTCTGGGTAGCACAGACTATGTCTTACCCATTCCAGTGCCCATATCTCTTAGCACAAGATTAGATGCTGAGAAAATGTCGTTAGATGGAAAAGCAGGAAGATAGATGGGAGAATGGATAGATGTGATGGGTTAGACGGGAATGAGTGGATGGATTTGCGGATGAATAGATGGATGGATGGGGAAAATGGATAAACAGATGAGTGGGTGAATGGGTGGTAGGATGGACGGATGAATGTACGAATGGGTAGGAATGGAATGAGATGATAAATAGATGGGAAAATAGATGAGTAACTGATGGGTGGGAGGACGGATGGGAAGGTACAGGATGGATGGTGGGTAGATGAGTGGGAGGATGATAGATCAGTAGCGGGCGGATGGATATACGGGTGGTTGGATGAGTGGATGCATGAGTGGACGAGTGGGAGAATGGAAAGTTGGGTGGGTAGATGGGTGTTTGGGTGGTAGATGGCAGATGCATATGCTCACTCACTCAACAATATCAGGCCCTGCTTCAGGTGTCGTGTGGATGATTTGAAGGGACGTGTGGATGTTATCTGGATGGACAGTACCTCGGGCATGAATACGAGATAGCTAGAGGGTGGGTGGGTGGGTGATGAATGAAGGGAATGATAGAAGGATGGGTGGATGGGAAGATAATGGAATGAGATGATAAATAGATGGGAAAATAGATGAGTAACTGATGGGTGGGAGGACGGATGGGAAGGTACAGGATGGATGGTGGGTAGATGAGTGGGAGGATGATAGATCAGTAGCGGGCGGATGGATATACGGGTGGTTGGATGAGTGGATGCATGAGTGGATGAGTGGGAGAATGGAAAGTTGGGTGGGTAGATGGGTGTTTGGGTGGTAGATGGCAGATGCATATGCTCACTCATTCAACAATATCAGGCCCTGCTTCAGGTGTCGTGTGGATGATTTGAAGAGACGTGTGGATGTTATCTGGATGGACAGTACCTCGGGCATGAATACGAGATAGCTAGTAGGGACTCAGTCATTGACCAACTGGCACTTCTTCCTGGGATTGCTTTGGTAACCCCAGTTGACCTGACTCTGGTTGGAGCCCTCATTTATCCAGAACATGATTTCTGCTCTATTCTCAAGAGAAGGACGTAAGTGGGGAACAACGTGGGCCTGTAAGCACCCCACTGGAGGAAGACTTCACAGGGAGGTGACTTCTTAGGATTTTTCTTCCCCATCCTGGAAGATGCATCTTACCTCATCACCTGGGGCTCTGTAAACCTGGGTGAGGGCCCAACTCTGCCACCTACTCACTGTGGGACCCTAGCCACGCCCTGACTCCCTGCAGGCCTCAGTGTTCCCATCTGTACAATGGCCAGGTACAACTGGGTAAGCCATTTGCTGGGAGAAGCAAACAGCCTTGGAAGAAGTGTGAGTGTGAGATTGGCAGCCCCAGAAATCAGCTGGGGGGACTCAAGTTTCACGTTTAGCGCAGAAGGTGGGAGAGGGCCCCGGTGTCAGGGAATACTCTCATGGCGGGCCTGGTCCACCAAGGCGTCAAGGGCCCTCCCATTCTCCATAGCTCCATTCCAGGCTCCTGCCCTGGTGGGAGCAGCCCTTACCACCCAGGCCAGTGAGNTAGAGAAGTGGGTGGATGATGAGTGGCTAGCAGGAAGATGGCTGGCTGGATGGATGGCCAGGTCATGGGAGATACAGGTTGGTGAGTGAGTAGTTGGTGGTGGGACAGTTGAACATATGGATGAGTGGGTGGTAGTTATGAGGACAGAGGGATGGTGGATGGTGGCACGAACTGATGAGAAACCCAAATCAGTCCTGGCATCTCCCAGTCCTAGTGTTGCTCACAACCCCAGGATATTTCTCAGAATGGACAAACCAGGCAGGGACTGTCATGACAGGGGCAGAGGCAGTTGGGAGCAGGGAGCTGGACAGCTCACCGTCATGTTCTGGACCTTCACATCCAAGGACTTCTGCAGAAGGGTGAGCTCCGCTGTGAGGAGGGTGGCTGAGAGCAGCAGCTGTGACGAGCCCTCGGCGTAGCCCTTGGGGAACTCGAGGGCCTCCCCATCACCCGCCAGCGGGATGGCTTTGCCTTTTTGCTGCTGCACCACAGGCTGCAGGACAGCCGGGAGGGAGACACTCAGGGGACCTGGCTGGTGAGTCTCAGGCCTCCAACTAACAGGGCTCAACTAAGCCCCACATCAGCAGGTCAGTAAATGTTAGCCCCTCCCAGGATACAGGTGGGTAGACTGAGGCCTGAGAGGACAAGGGACTCAGTCATTGACCAACTGGCACTTCTTCCTGGGATTGCTTTGGTAACCCCAGTTGACCTGACTCTGGTTGGAGCCCTCATTTATCCAGAACATGATTTCTGCTCTATTCTCAAGAGAAGGACGTAAGTGGGGAACAACGTGGGCCTGTAAGCACCCCACTGGAGGAAGACTTCACAGGGAGGTGACTTCTTAGGATTTTTCTTCCCCATCCTGGAAGATGCATCTTACCTCATCACCTGGGGCTCTGTAAACCTGGGTGAGGGCCCAACTCTGCCACCTACTCACTGTGGGACCCTAGCCACGCCCTGACTCCCTGCAGGCCTCAGTGTTCCCATCTGTACAATGGCCAGGTACAACTGGGTAAGCCATTTGCTGGCAGAAGCAAACAGCCTTGGAAGAAGTGTGAGTGTGAGATTGGCAGCCCCAGAAATCAGCTGGGGGGACTCAAGTTTCACATTTAGCGCAGAAGGTGGGAGAGGGCCCCAGTGTCAGGGAATACTCTCATGGCGGGCCTGGTCCACCAAGGCGTCAAGGGCCCTCCCATTCTCCATAGCTCCAGTCCAGGCACCTGCCCTGGTGGGAGCAGCCCTTACCACCCAGGCCAGTGAGCCTGAATCCCCAGCCTCCTGGTGGCCCCCGGCACTTACACTGAAGTCCACTTGGATATAGCTGGCTGTGGTGGTTGGTGTGGACATCAGGACATATTTGACAGTGCCCATCTGGCCCACGGGCATGGCGTCTATGCAAAGAGAAGGTTCCATTCAGAGAGGTGCCAATTCCAGAAGTGGCCCAGCCTGAAGAAGCTGACACCAGCCAGCTCTGTGTGACCTAAGGCAAACTGTTTAGCATCTCTGGGCCTCAGTGAATTTATCTGTAGAATGGGGGCAATGGTGCCTGGCCTGGAAAATCACATCACTCTCTTGGCACAGCTTGGATCTCACAACAGACCAGCGGGATCGGGATTAGCAGCTGTTTTACAGATGAGGAACAACCTGAGGCTCAGGGGAGTGAAGTGACTTTCCCCAGCCACACTTTCCCCGACCACAGTGTGAGTGTCCCCACACTGGGGACACAAGCCAGTTTTCTTCACTCCCAGACACTGGGATTTCCTGTCCTCCACACTAGGAAGCCCCGTAGACCCCAGAATGATGGAAGCAGCAGATCTGCTCAGCAAAGGAGAGCCTGCTATTACCACTATTGGGATTAGTATTTATTCAGGGCACAAGGCTTGTGGATGAACCCAGAATGTCTGTAGTCCTCGGAGTCTCAGGGATGCCGGGTGGAATACCGAGTGGTGGGGTGAGAGGGAGGACCCCAGAGTCCCTCAGGACCTCAGGCTTCCCATCTAGACATTGGGGTATGGACACCATGATGTCAGACCTCCTCTAGTCCCAAGGCTGAGCTGGAAGCAGGCATGGAGTGGGGAGTGGGGCATCAAAATTCATCTGTCCTGGTGTCCCGGTGTAGGGATGACATGTGGCTACACTCACCATTCAGGTTGGTCCACTTCCTGTTCACATACACCAGGACCGCATCGATGGCTGGACACATCTGGAAGCAGAGAAGGTGCTGGGCTGAGAGGATCCCTGTGTGGAGGCCTCACTCTCCAGCTGAATAGTACTCCACAGGGAGTCCTAAGAGCCCTGGTGGGATAGGAACTGGTAGAGAAACTGAGGCCCCAAGTCAAGTGAAAAGTCAATAGTAGAGCCTGGACTAGAATCCAGATCTCCTACCCCCAGTCTGCAAAATCACTGAGGACTCACTGCCCAGGGACTGGTCACCTAAGCAGGGCTGGCAAGCTGTGAAACGCAGGCTGTCGTTTCCTCCTCCCATGCTCATGGCAGATGTCACTAGATGGTCAAGGCATTTTGTCCCACTGAGCCAGCCACAGCCCCAGAACCCTTCTCAGCCACTGTCAACCAGTCAGGGTCAGCACCCAAGATGAAATAAATGTGTCAGTCCTTTTCTAAGCAATCCCAGCAACGAGGGCTGGAGGCTTGCTCTGGGCCACTCACCAGGCCAGGGAGGACTTTGTGCAGGGTGCTGTCCAGAAACTTCTTGACCATCTTGGGCAGCATGCTAGACACAAGCACCAGAGGATGGGTGAGCAGGTGTACCAACGGCAGGAATTCAGGCACAGGACACGGAGGGACATGTTTAAGGAAATTCAGTGGCTCAGGACGTGGGAGGCTGGGGTGTAGCAACATGGCCCAGCCTTCCTCCCCAGCCACAGAGCCCCTCACTTGCTAGGCAGGTTGGTCTTCACGTTGACCAGGATGACCTCACAGCCCTCACTCTTGAACATGGGAAGGCCAGTGTCCTCATCCTGCAGAAGCCGGTTGGTGGCTGTGATGTTCAGGACCACGATGATTTCCATGTTCCCGCCCATGAAGCTGGAGGATGGGGCAGGCAGGCATCATGAGCATCTGCCCCTGCGGCCACTATCCCTGCCTCCTCTTTGTTCACAGTCTCAGCAGCTCTGAGAGGAGGGGAGGGTGAGGGACCACCCCCATGGGACAGAAAAGGAGATGGGACCTGCTCAAGGTCACACAGGCAGACATTCCCTTCCCCTCTTGCTTTGGCAAACACCTGCGCATCCCTGAAAACTCTGCTCAGCTGTCATCACCTCTCCAAAGCTTTTTCTGAGTCTCCCCCTCAGCCCTGCCCAACACTTCCTCTGTCCTAGAAAGAGTCTGTGATTGTGGTTAGACCTGGTTCCCATCAAGGGTAGGAACCTCCCACAGATGTGTACAATCAATTACATTTCTATAAAAAACAAACAAATGAAAAACCAAGGTAGGAACCAAGTCTGCACCATCTCAGATCATAGCACCCAGGTAGTACACAGTAGGTACTCAATAAATGTGCATGTATGGGTGAGACATTCTCCTTCCCCTGTCCCTCCTCCACCATGCTCACCTCTTGCCAGTGATGGTCATGCCTGTGGACACACACTGGAAGATGCCCACTCCAGGTACAAAGTTCAGTGTGATGGCGGGCAGCTGGACGTCCTTCACTTTCAGACTGGGAGAGGACAGGCACCCACAGAGATGAGAACTGGGTAGGCAAGACCCAGGCCCTCAACCTGCTCCTCCACCACCTTGCTGGAAGGCCTGGGTAAAGCCCCATACCATGCCACAGGGATAAGCCTGCCTCATGGGCATGAAATGTAAACAAAAGACTGCACATGAACCAATTTGTGTACAGAAAGCGCCCATCACATGTGAGATGGGACACATGGCTGACTGTGTGTGACCTTGGGCTGTTCCATTCCCTTCTATGGGCCCAATTTCCCCATCAACAAAACAGGGAGATTGGCTTAGATCGGGACTCTCAGCAGTGGCACTCTTGATGATTTGGGCAGGATAAGTCTTTGCTGTGGGAGGCTTCCTATGCATTGTAGATGTTTAGTAGGGTCTCTGATCTACGTAACCCACTAGAGCCAGTAGCACTCCCCCTTTACCCTGTAAGTTATCACCACCAAAAATGTCTCCAGATATTGCCAGACGTCCTCTTGGAGGCAAAATCACCTCTGGTTGAGAACCAGCAGTCAAGATCCAGGGTAACAGAGATGGGGCACGTATACCTCCACCTGCTCATCCCGAACTCTTGGCAGACATTGCTAATTGATCACAGTCCTATTTCTGCTAAGTCTAGATAGTGCCTCATCTTGGAGGCAAAATCACCTCTGGTTGAGAACCAGCAGTCAAGATCCAGGGTAACAGAGATGGGGCACGTATACCTCCACCTGCTCATCCCGAGCTCTTGGCAGACATTGCTAATTGATCACAGTCCTATTTCTGCTAAGTCTAGATAGTGCCTCAGAACACTCCCCAGTGCATCCCTCCAGGCATGTCCTACCAGTCAACCCCATAAGGCACTTGCAAAGGAACCCATTTCCTCTTGTCACTAGATGATCGTTGACACCTTTCCAGCTCTATCATTTGAGCATTTTTTTCCCTTTAATTTCATGTACATTCAGTAAGCTTGTGTTGCATGCAAGGAGTTGGAGTCGGAATTTTCAACCTCACTTCCTCCTTAAAATGACCCTGCTCACAACAAGGCAGGAATTGTCCACAGTGGATGGTGGAAGAGGCCCAGGCCCAGGCAGGAATAGTGATGTGCCCAAGGTCACGCAGCAGCACAGCACAAGGCAGGGAAGAGGCCCCAGGCCCCGCACCAACACTCTCACCTGGCCTCCTTGGGCCTTGGGCACAGCATTCCCCACCACCCTCTGGCCTAAGTGTCACCCTCTGACCCCCTTTCCCCACTTACTTGGTGATGCCCTTGATGGGTTTCATCCCAGGCTGCTTCTTGCCTGCCTCAGCTGCCATCTTCTCCAGGATATGACTCTCTTCCATGGCGCTCTGGACCTCTGGAGGTAGGAGTGTCCAGAGAGACACTTAACCAGGCTCCCTGCTGCTTCCCTGGCCACTTACAGTCACTGTGTCCCATGCTGAGCTGGACAATGCCAGGGACCTAGGGATGAGTCATGTCCAACCCCTACCTAATGGGGGGAGACAGGGTCACCAGCAATGACAGTAACAAGTGGCAAGAGCCATAATAGAATAAATGCAGGCATCTGTAGGAACCACATGAGGGGTTTAGGCCAGGAAGGGAGGATCTTGGGAAGGTTTCTAGCAGGAGGTGACATATCAGTTGGCCCTTGAAGAAGGAATAGGAGTTTTCGCTAGGAAGCTAAGAGATAAAGGGCAGAGGGCACAGCAAGTGCAAAGGTGGGAGGGGGAAGAAGTGACACGGTGAGGGAGAGTGGTAAATTCAGCATGGCCCCAGGGTGGGGAGAAACACAACAGAGAGCCTGGAGCAGTTTGCAGGGGACAGAGCATGGAGGCCTTGAACACTAAGCTAGAGTATCGATTTTTCCAGTGAACCAGCCACTCCCAAGCATGGGTGATGAGGGGACTTATCTGGGAGCTTGTGAAAATGCAAGTTCCCGGCCTGAAGCAGAGAGATTCTGATTCCCCAGCCCGGAGGCCCCAAGTCCAAACCATACCCTGCCAGAAACACCTCTATTATGATCACAGGCTAATTCCCAGAGAGGGGACAAATACTGAGCTGAAAGACTGTCGTTAGCCTTTTGTACCTGGATGTGACTCCATTTCCCTTGTCGTGGAGCTGGGGGTGGAGGTGGAAAATAAGCTTTACTAAGCCCCTCCCCAACCCCCACCAGAAAATTTTAACCTCACGTTTCATTTGATCCTGCCAGGAAAGCACTTGTCACCCTATTTTACATTTCTTTACATTTTATATTTACGAATGAGCAAACAGCAACCCAGAGAGGGCAAGTGATTTGCCTGAGGCCACAGAGCGAGTTGTTGGCAGAGCTGAGACTTGACACATATCTGTCCACCTCCACAGCCTACTTGTGGCCACCAACCCCTGCCAACAGGGACAACGAAAGACTCCAAGGGAGCAGTATTTCCAGCTCTGCCTCTAACTTGTAGGGGGAGCTTGGGCAAGTCATCCCATTTTCTTGGGGCCTCAGTTTCGCCCCTCTGTAAAATGGGAGAATAATAACACATTGCTTATAAGTTTGAGGATCACAGGATGCTCAAGGCTGGGCAACCATGAATGGTCACTACCTACCACCTGCCCCATGCCCTACCTCCCAGCCCCACACCCAGGCCAAGAGCTAACCATGGTTCATGATGTCCATGCCCAACCGCAGCACTGCGCCGGGGTCAGCTCGTGTGCCTGTCAGCAGGCCGCAGAGTGCCAGACACAGGATCCACATCATGGCGCCACCTGTGTTGAAGGGCCTGAATTGGATGCAGCCCACCAGGTCCTGGTTCCCCTGGGGCTCTCCCATGTCCCAGAGCATATGAAGCCCCCTGGACGTTGTCAGGGGTCCAGGAGCCTTTGGACTCCAGCCAGCTCAGCAACATCATTATTGTCTCTTCCCAAGGGATTGAGGAACATCCAGATTAAATACAGGGCCTCTGGAGTCACCCCGGGTAGGGCACTTCCCTCTCTAAGCCTCAGTTGAGCCCCCTGGACGTTGTCAGGGGTCCAGGAGCCTTTGGACTCCAGCCAGCTCAGCAACATCATTATTGTCTCCTCCCAAGGGATTGAGGAACATCCGGATTAAATACAGGGCCTCTGGAGTCACCCCGGGTAGGGCACTTCCCTCTCTAAGCCTCAGTTTCCCCATGGGCATGAAGTGCTCTTCCTACAATACGGGGTTGGTGGGAGGTTTAGCTGCAACTTTTCACGAGTTCAAGAGCGGCACAGTGCCGGACAAGGCTGGAGCCGCAGAGGGAATTCCAACCCTGCCCTGACTTAGGGAGCTGCCATCGCAGTTGGGGAGTGGCAAGTCCTGTGTCCCCCCACCTGACACTACAGCCAAAGCCCCGCCACCTCCTCCAGCTCAGCCGTACTTCCATGTGGAGCCCAAAAATCTCAACTCAGAGCCCCTTAAGGTCCCTTGAGACATCACCTTACCAAAAGAGAAACTGAGGCACACGTGAGGTCTCATAACCAGTGAATAGCAAACTAAGTGAAGACCTCCCACCCCAGACCCTTCAAGGTTCCCAGGAAAGCCCTATCCTATCTCTGGCCCCCCAGAAATCCCTCCCTTCTACTTACCAAGACCTGAAATTCTCCCAATCAGGGGCCAAGTGTATATTTCAGGTTTGAGCTTTGGCTGAAAACACTCAAGGAGGAGCCCACGGTAGCCCAGCCTGTGCTGGCCCAGAGAGGGAAAGGTCCAGCTGAACTATCGCTGACAGCAGGCCCAGGCACTGAGGGCTCCCCTCATCCACAAATCAAGATGGGCCCCTACCCTGGACCTGCTTTCCCAGCCCTAGCCTATGCCTGCATTCATTCATTCAGCTCACACTTATGGAGTGCCTACGATGTGCCAGGCAGGCCAGGCTACAAGGTGCCCACAGTACAAGGTGCTCACAGCAGATATAGTCCTGTTCTTCCTGAATCTTAAAGTTTCCAGGGGCCGGCGGGGAGGCAGATGGGGAGCAGTAGAATGAGATATGGGATAAAGTGGACAGGGAAGGACTCCTAAGGAGAAGATATTTAGCCTGAGACCTAAAGGATGAAGAGGAGCTGGCGTATAAAGAGCCAGGGAGAACATTCGAGCCAACAATCAATATTCAGTAAATGAACGTGAGATCCATTTCTCTCTTGTCCCATTCAATTTTTAAATATCTAATCTGGGCTTGAAAATGATCAATCTTAGGGTTTCCTCAACCTCTTTGAACACACACATGTGCGCCATGGCATGTGCTCAGGTCCATACACGCCCAGTCCCAAATCTCTTTGAAAATCCTCCCCGGAGTTCTATGGAGTTCTGTGCCAGGGCGACAGAGCTGGAAGGGGCTTGGTGAGGGTCTCGTCCAGCCTCAGCCCTATCTCACAGGTGGAGAGACTGAGCACCACCCCAGTCTCCCCATTCCCAGGCCAGAACTGATGCCAGGTGTCAGGGTCACTCGGAGCAGGGATTTTTGCCCTCATGGAATAATAAGTGGCTTTGGGTAACACAGTCATGCAGGTGTTTCTGGGACAAATGGTGAACGCCAGGGTTTTGTTTCTGATTGTGCTTTTGCCTAAGCTGTCCCTTCCTCTTAGAATGTCTTCCCTCATCCATCCGTCACCTGCTCATCCCTCAAGTCCTAATTTCCACACTTGCCTCCTGCGCTAGAAAGCCTCCCCTCAACCCACAACTGCCCCCAGCCTCAAAGATCAAAGTTTGAACCTGATCATGTACATAAGCCATCCCACCCGAGAGGAGTGTTTCCTGCTGCCCCTGCCCCACCCTTTGCTCATACTTGTTCCTCCACCAGGAGTCCCTTCCTCCCTCCCGCTGCCCGGCACATGCCCCTAGATGACCCCACCCTGGTTGCCCAGCTTAGCTGTGGGCTCCCACAAGGCAGAGCCTGGGTTTCTCCCTCCAGAGATCTCCCCTCAACCTCAGAGGAGCCCAAGCCCTGTCGGATCTGCTGTCTCCTTGATCTTCCCTATGTCCTACAGCAGCTGAAGATGGCAATGTCCAGAGGCTACCTGTGAGGTGGTGGGCACTGGGCAGGGGCCAGGACATAGATCCAAGCTCTGGCCCTGCCACCCATTTGCTGTGTGACCAAGGGCAAGTCCCTTCCCCTCCCTGGGCCTCAGATTTCTCATCTGTAAAATGACAGTGTTGGATAGGACACTCTCTGGGGAGAGTTTCATGGGTGGGAGACTGTCCTTACCTTGCCGAGTGTGGGGAAGTCCTGCAGATGACTGACCCCTGCCTCCCGACTCTGAGACGAGGAAGCCCTTATATTTGGGAGACTGATTAGCTGCTTGGATAATTAAGGGTTTAATAAGGCCCAGATAATTATCTAGAGGCCGATGAACAGGAGCCCTGATGCTCACGTGACTCCTCGGTCTGTTCCAACATAAATACATGAGGACGGGTGCTGGGGACGGGATGTGGGCGTCCAAGCGGGCACCAGTGCTCCCGCTGCCCCCTGTCCTAGATCCAGCACTTCGCACAAGGCCGGGCACACAGTAGGCACCCATTCACTCCTTCAACAAGCATTAATGGAGCACCTACTGTGTGCCAGGCCTGTGAAAGGCAGTGGGGTTACCACAGTGAACAAGGCAGGTGGGGTTCCTGCCCCGAGAGGGCTCCTGGGGCACAGAGGGGGAGATGAGCACTATGCAAGTCACCAACCACAAACCAAGTCATTCCTCAGAGAGACAAGGTGGTGGAAGCCACTAAACCGGGCAGATGGGACAGAGGTGAAAAAACAGGGTTATCATCAGAGCTGGGAGGTTCCTTGAGCAGGGGTGGTGGGGCCGATGGCACTGGGGCAAGCAGAGCCAGCTTTGAAAGACCAGGAAAGACAAAGGGAAAGGCCTGGGAGACGCTGGCTGGGCCCATCAGGACTTGTGCCCCTGAGACTCATTCACAGAAGGCACGAGGGTCTAATGGCCAAGTGGGGTGTCCTCAGAGAGACCCTTTTGGAGGAGATGCTGGGATGAGCCAGACAGTGGGGGACTTTCTCTCAAGGTCCAAGCCTGGGGACAGTAAAAGCATGGCAACCTCAGGGTCTCAGGGTGAGCCAGCCACAGGCCTGGGCTAGAACCAGGCCTTGGGGTTCCCAGCCTCTGCTCTGCTCCCCATGAGCTCCTCAGGGGGCTTGGCTTGGGGGCTCCTCGAGGGCCTTTGTGCTTGATGAACAGTCCTGGGGGGCAGCAGGGGGACTGGGGTTTTCCTCAGCCACCCACAGGGAGCCCATAGCCCTCAGTCTTTCTGGAAGAAGGAGAAAGCCACTGTGCCCCTGTGCATGTGGGGCCACAGAGGCCAGAAGGGAGCAAGGACCTGCCTGAGGTCACACGGCGTGGCTGAAGCCAGGTTGGGGCAGGGCAAGAGCAAGAGAAGCCACTGTGCCCCTGTGCATGTGGGGCCACAGAGGCCAGAAGGGAGGAAGGACCTGCCTGAGGTCACACGGCGTGGCTGAAGCCAGGTTGGGGCAGGGCAAGAGCAAGACCTGGGGCAGCGTCTACCCTGGTCTGGGCCCTGAGCTGGAGGAGCCAGTCCACAGATAGCATCGTTTTATCCCTGCCGATCCGCCCCCAGCAGACAGAGGGACAGGCAGGCCTCACATCCCCCTCCTGCCTGCAAATCCACCCCGTGTGCCTCTGACTCCAGCCACCTGGCCCTCCCTGCCTTCCCCCAGAGCTATCCTGGGTAATGGCAGTGGCAGGGGAGTAACTGGGGCAGGAGGTGGGGGAAACAGGAGAAACCCCCTTGAGTGCATTCAGGGATCTGAGCCCCATTCCCAGCCACTCTCCTCACAAGCTGTGTGGCCTTGGGTACTCCCTCAACCTCCCTGGGCCACCATTTTATCTCCTTTAGATGTGGGGGCAGAAGTCTGTGATGCTGACAGCAATAGCAATGATAGGACCCGTTTACTATGTGCCACATGCTAAGCGTCCGATTGGTACCAGCCCATTCAATCCTCAGAACTACCCTGTGAGGTAGGCACTTTGGCAGTTTTCTCCACTTTACAGATAGAGAAACTGAGGCTCAGAGAGGTCAAGCCATTTGCCCAAGTTCACACTGGAAGTGAGTAGCACAGCTGGGGGTTAAATGTGGATCCAAGGGGCTCCAGAGCCCAGGCCAAGACCTGCCAAGGAATACCCAATGGGCCCCGCCTGCCTCTCTGTCCTCCCTTCCCTCATGCCCCAGAGTCATCCTGCCTGGACCCTTACAACACCCCCCCTGCTCCTGCTCCAAATTCGGCCACGCTTCCAGGACCAGCTGAGGCGCCTTCCTCCAGGGAGCCTTCCCTGACCCCCTTCCCTCCCCCAACCTCGCAGACACCAAAGACCAGGCCAGTCCTGAAGCTCAGTGTCATCGTTTCCCTTCCCCCTCTGGGGACCCAACAAGGATGACTCCAAGTCCTGCAGCCCCCACCTGCCTGTGGGGGTCAGGCTCTCCACACAGCCTGCCCAGGGCTGAGGCAGGCCTGGGCCAGAGTGCCAGCGTATGCACGTGCAGGCAGCTCATGCACCACACATTTATTATGCACTTGCTGTGTGCTTGGCTCTGGGAAGGGTCAGAGAGGAGAATCAGAAGTCAGTCAGAGAGGTGCAGTGGGGAAGGAAGCCATGGACACCAATAACCACGCTATGCAATCAAGTGGCCTCAGAGTGACCAGGGTCAGGGGTTTGGAGACTGAAAGGAGGAACACAGCATTACCCACTGCTGTGGCCAGGGGAGACCGCATCTGAGCTGGTGCATAGAGAGAAACAGGTTCAGGTGAAGGTATCCCAGGAGGAGCAATAGGGTCAGGGGTTTGGAGACTGAAAGGAGGAACTCAGCATTACTCACTGCTGTGGCCAGGGGAGGCCGCATCTGAGCTGGTGCATAGAGAGAAACAGGTTCAGGTGAAGGTATCCCAGGAGGAGCAAAGAGCAAGGCAAAGGCCTAGCAGGGAATGTGCAGGGTACACATTCAAGGTTAAGAGCGAGCGGCGCAGGTGAACAAGTGGGACATTTGTAAAGGAGCCAGTTCCAGGAGGACGCAGGCCGGTCCTTCTCCACCTCATTGTGTCAGTTCATGATTTATTACTGCCAAGGTTAAGAGCAAGCGGCGCAGGTGAACAAGTGGGACATTTGTAAAGGAGCCAGATCCAGGAGGACGCAGGCCGGTCCTTCTCCACCTCATTGTGTCAGTTCATGATTTATTACTGCCTCTCAGCTCTGAAAGCGCCCTTCAGCTTCAGTCCACATTCTATGACAAGCAGTAGAATTCACCCTCAAAGTGAGCATGACGTTAACCTTTCTCATGAGCAGGCAGCGGAGGGCAGTGCAAGAGGCAGAGGCTCCCTGTGGTTTCCAGAGCCAGTCAGGTCAGTGGCAGGGGTATGAGAACATCGAGAGAAGCCTTTGCAGCCACGGGCCCAGAACTTCCATCCCTCTGCAGCCTTGCAGCCTTGGCTGGGGGACAGCCCTTCTGTGGCCCTCTCCAAACAGAAGCCAGAGACACCCCTATGCCCCACCTGTCTGGTCCATCCACTCTGAAGGCCTCTTGTCCATGCCAGTGCCTGGGTTTCACTGTAAACCCCCCTGCATGGCCTTCATGAAGCCACCTGTGGCCCAGAGAGCCACACACCAAGCAGTTGCTCCACCTGCAAGCCAGCCACTCCCCCCATGTTGCTTGCTGGGGGCTCCGAAGTTCTCAGCTGCCTACTGTTTGCCCAGCAACTCCAGGCCAGCTCTGACCTGGACAAACCAGTGAATTTCTCTGCCATCCAGAAGGCAACACCCTCTTAAGTGACATCTGAAGCCCCTCCAAGTGTGTCCTTCCTGTGCTACTCTCCCTCAGCCCTAGAGTACCACATAGAGTTTCCTCTATCTTATAAGAACATGTAATATAGAACTAGGCACATCATGGGGACAAACAGCCTGGCTGGTTGGAAAAAGTGATTGAATGAATGGATTACAGGATGGATGAATGGAAGGATGGATGGATGGTGGATGGACAGATCACTGGGCTGACTGATGGATGGATGGATCCTACATACTGAGCTCATAATATTTTTCCAGGTTATTAAATTCCTTTATGGGTTGAGGATGTGTCTTAAACTTTTTGTCTCTCCCATACTCCAGACCATCTAGCCTAGGACTGAGCCTATGTTAAGTCCCAATGAAAGAAGAATTAATGAATTAATTAACTAAATAACCAAAGGAAAGAGGAGTCTGAGCAAAATCTTGAGGCTGGATTTCACAGTCTGCCTCTTTCCACTCTCTCAGCACTCCCCGCACCTCGACTCTGGGCTCCATCCAGTCCCCTCAGCCTGTCACACTTGAGACGTCAGGGATGAACCTGTTACCCTTATAGGGAGAGCTGCTGTGGCACACTGTACCAGAAGCTTTGCTTACTGATGGTGGAATTCAGGCACCTTTACTGCCCAAAGGAAATATAAACAGAACATGAATCTTGCATATCTACGTAGGAAGGAGTCTTAACTCTGACTAAGAGATTAGCTTATCGGGGGAGAAAAATCACATGGCCATGGCCTGCCAGTGTCTGCATGCCTTGGTCTTCCCCAGGCCATCTTGTCATGTATGACCCACTGGGTTTGGCAAGATTTCAAAGCAGATCCTGCCTCCTTAGAACAAAAAACGTGCTCGTGACCATAGTAAACCAAAGATGGAGAAGCTGCCTGGAAAGGCAGTGAACTCCCCATCACCTGAAGTTCGTGAATCAAAGACAAAGTCCAAGTGAGGGTGCTAGAGAATGGAAGAGGGAACTGAGTACCTTATGTCTGGATTCTAGAAAGGTCACTGTCCTAGGGACCAGCCACCATCCAGCTCTGAAGCTCTGGGTGCATTCCTCTCCTCACTGGGCCTTAGTCTCCACATCTTTAAAATGGGGCACCACACCCTGCATGCCTGACTCACAGGGGTCTTATGAGGCTCTAGTAACAAGATGGGGCATGCCACTGGAGAGGGGAAAAGGCACGGGGCATGCCACCAGGCAGAGGGCACATTGCCTACAGTGCCGTCATGGTGCTCATAACTTCCAGCTCATCTGGGTTACTTGCCAGGGTCCTCTTTCAAAGTAGGAGCTCCCCTGGGCAAGGAGGTGATAGAGTCAACAGATGTGGTCGACAGAGATGTGGTCACATCTTCCTTGCCCAGGCAGCTTTGGTGGCTCCAGGGACAGACAGGACACAGGGGCTACACATAAGGAACTGGCCTCAGGTACACACAATTTGTCCGGCCTGGCTGGAAGATGCAGCAGAAGAGAAGTTGTTTAATGCAAGAGGGGACAGGTCTGTACAGCCTGGAGGAACAGTCTGCTCCCCACCAGGAAGGGGCAGAGAGAGGAAGGGGAGGTGAGGGCAGGGGGGGGGAGAGGAGGTGGAAGGGATGGGGAGAAAGAAAGGGAGGGGGACCCAGGAACTCAGTGAAGATTAAACAGCCCAGCTGGGCAGTCTGGCTCGCTAGTGACAAATTAGTGTGGCTTTGCCTCAGTTTCCCTAGAGATTTGAGGTAAGAGAGTCCCCTGAGCAGCCAGCTGTTCCACCCTCAGCTTTTCCAGTGGTGCTGTCTCAGTGCTGGTAGGGTAGAAGAGTCCACTGGATATCACAACGTAGCCCTGAAGAGCAAAGAAAACCATGGGCCAGGTCAGAGGTCACCCAGGTAGGACCCCCAGCTGCCCCATCAGCATGGCTTTGAGTTCATGCTCTGCCACTCTTGCCTGGCTGACCCTGCGACCCCACTGTTTGCACTAGTGGGGAGGGAAGGAGAGAGGCGACCCCCACCTCGCCAAGCCCGGCCTCCCTCCAAGGGTGGACAAGGCCCCTCTGGTCACACACCCAAAGGCTCTCACCTCATAGACAAAGACCTCAGGGTTGACGTAAAGGAGGTTGACCACACTGGGGAGGGCAATTCCCATGCCCAAGAGAGCTGCAAGTGGGAAAGAAGAAGTCAAGTTCAGCCAGAAGAGGTAATGCATCACCACCTAGAGCCAGCTCTGTGCTGAAGTCCTCAAGTGTATCGTGGCACCAAGTCCTGCAGACACTCAGGAGGTGGATGCCATTATTATTATACCCATTTTACAGAAGGGAAAACTGAGGCTTAGAGAGGGAAAGGAGCTTTGTGAAGATCACACAGCTGCTAAACAGATGCGTGCCAAGATGCACACTGGGCAGCTGGACTCCAGAGGCCTCTGTCTTAGCCTCTGAACATGCTGGTGGGGGGTGGCTGGATTTGAGCGCAGGGCAGTTGTGGGGCCAGCGGGGCCATGCTGGGGTGGAGGGCAGGGCTCACCATTGAGGTGGTCCAGCAGGGGCTTCTCAAACACAGTGCCCATGAGCGCGTACACTTGATCTGTCTGCAGTCACGGAGCCAGCGAGATGGGGGACCGCAGGGCCGCTCCAGCCGAGGGGCCAGGAGAGATGGACAGTTAGGGACACACATGAACACACAGACAGACAAATGGATGGCAGAGGCACAGGCAGAGGGAGGAGGGCAGGTCATCCACGTCCTGGGTTCAAGCAGAGCCCAGCGACACCCTGGGGCTGGACCAGCCTTCTCAGCATCAGGCGCTGGAGCTGTGCTCGCCTGGGGGGAGGCTGAGGATAAGACTGACCAGTGGACATGCAGGCACTGTGCGACCAATGGTGGGCTGGCTAGCAGCCCGCCCAATGACCGATGGACAGACAGACTGACAGCTAGGTAGAGGGATGGGGAATATTGACTGACAGGCCGACTGACAAATGGATGCATGGTGGCTGGTGGCCCAACTACGTCATGCAACTGAAGGAACAGCTGACCCTGTCTGACCTGTCCAACTGAACCATGGAGTCTGGCAAGTCATCGACTACTAGGCAGAGTGATAGCAGGCAGGCTGAATGATCAGCTGACTAACAAAGGGACAGCCTGTGACAGGTTGCCAGGTGACTAGCCTCTGTCCCCAAGAACCCCAGGGAAGCCTGATTATGCCAGCACATATGGCACACATGCGCCCACACACATGCAGATACACACACCCCTCAAGGCCTGTCCCACCCAGTAGGAGTCTCTGGAGACCCCAGACCCACACTCACATCAATAGAGCCCACATTGGAGGAGGCCACGGTGAGTTGGACATCCCTGGAAGAGAAGCAGGAAGGCTCGGGATGGGGCCTGGTGCCTCCCCACCCCCATACGCCTGGCTGCATCCCAGGCTCCCCTGACTGACACTGTGACCACGTGGTTGTGGGCCCATTGCACAGAAGGACACACTGAGGCTGCTGTGTCCAGGAGGGCTCCCTTACCCCAGCACAGACGTGGTCCCCTGGAGCTTTGCCTTGGACACGGAGAGCTGGAGGCTCAGGTTCACTACCTGGGAGCAAGGGCAGAGCAGGGGCAGGGGGCACAGAGACACAAGGGAGCCCTCAGCAGGTGAACCAACCCAGTCTTCCACCCACCCCCACACCCCACTCATTCAGGCACCAGGTGCTTGTGCCAGGCCCTGCCCTGTGCACTGGGAATAACACAGTGTGAACAAGGCAGACTGGGTCCCTGTCCTAGAGCCCTCAGCAGGTGAACCAACCCAGTCTTCCACCCACCCCCACACCCCACTCATTCAGGCACCAGGTGCTTGTGCTAGGCCCTGCCCTGTGCACTGGGAATAACACAGTGTGAACAAGGCAGACTGGGTCCCTGTCCTGGGAACCCACCACTGGCCAGTGGGGGAGGCAAACAATAACCAAAGTAACCAGAAGGATCCTTTCAGAATGGCAGATGCCACCAAGGCAGAGTGGTGTCATGGAGAGGACTGATGGGGACCTTCTTACTCAGGGTGGTCCAGGAAGACTACCCTGAAGAAGGCTGCAACATTTAAGCTGAGTCCTGAAAGATCAGCCGTGCTAAGAGCCATGGGAAGAGAGGCAGAGGGTTTAGCACATGCAAAGGTCCTGAGGCAGGAATGTCCTGACATGTTCAAGAAGAAGCAAGGAGACCAGTGTGGACAGAACAAGCAAGCAAGGAGAGCACAGGAGGGAGTGAGGTCTTGAGAGCCACCCACCCTCCCGGCCAGCGCCCTCTGGCTCAACTCACTCACCACATCCAGGGAGAAGAGGGAGTCGAAAGCCGAGTTGGAGGCTGCAACCAGGACCTCCACGAAGGGCTGCAGCTGCAGTGTTGCGTTGTTGGTATGGAGCGTGGCCACAGGCGTGGCACCCAGCCTCACCTTGAGCACCAGGGGCATGGGCTCGGGGAACTGGCGGGCCACCTGGGGAAGCACAGGGGGACAGAGAGAGGAGGGTTCTGCTGGGGCAAAGGCTGGGTGGGCTGTCCATTGGGTCCTTCCTCAAATGCTGATCAAGCCACCATCGTACTGTACATGACAGGGCCACAGAGCTGGGTCCACCCCAGGTCCCTGGACCAGACAAGGGTTTTGGTCCTCCCTTAGGAGGTGGTACCTGAGCTTGGTCTTGAAGATGGATAGGAGAAGGGAAGGAGAAAAGATACTCCAGGCAGAGGGCACTGCTTAGACAAAGGTAGAGAGAGGAGAAAAGAGCGTGGTGTCTGGGCAAAAGGAGGGGCCGTCCCTGAGAGGGAGCAGGAGCAGATTTAAGGGCAGACGCTGCCCCCTACCTGGGACAGATACGGGTCAGCAGAGATCCCACAGCCCAGAGAACCCCCTCTCCAACCCCATGTCTCAGTCCCTGGAATGACCAGAAATGTCACCAACCTCAGGGATGAGCTGGCCCAGCACGGAGGTGTTCAGCAGGTTGTCATCCGAATTCTGAAATCAGCCCCCCATCCCACAACAGGTTTTACAGCAGCCGCTGCCCAAGCGAGACTACCGCTTGCCCCTCATGGAGAGGAATCCCTCCCTCTAGATGCCATTTAACCTTCTAGCAGCCACTGGTTGAGCCTCCCGAAACTCAAGCTGCCCCACCCGCCCACAACTTGGCCACTGTGGGGTCTCCCCAGGCTGGGCCACAGGGCAGTCCTGCGCCACGTGCCCTGGGCATTAGGTGCAGCCCTCACCAGCTGCCCTGTGATGTCCAGGTTGAGGCTGCCGGCCTTCTGCAGCAGCAGGAAGGCTGAGTCAAACAGGTGCTGGGAGAGGCCCACAGTGGCCATGGCGTCCTGGGTGCCCACGTGTGGTGGCAACACGAAGGGGGAGGTGTCCTTGGGAAGGACGATGGGCTTGCCCAGCAGGAAGAGAACAGCCTGCGGGGGTGGGGGTGACAGAGAGACAAGCGGCAGGGCTCAGCAAGGAGCAGCTCCATGAAAGAGCTGGGATCCTTGGGAAGGACGATGGGCTTGCCCAGCAGGAAGAGAACAGCCTGCGGGGATGGGGGTGACAGAGAGACAAGCGGCAGGGCTCAGCAAGGAGCAGCTCCATGAAAGAGCTGGGCTCCTGGATGCCAAACTCCTCACCCCAAGATGCCACGTGTCTAGCCTCACACTTGTGCACGTATGCCATGCTCCCACCTGGATGCCGTGCCAGCTCCCCTCCCCACAACTCCCCTGCTCCTTTAGGAAGCTTCTGGGACACCAAGGGCTCCAGAGGCAATGAGCCTCCTGCTCTGGGCTGACAAGGAAGCACTTACATTGACATCCAAAGAGATGTAGTCACTCGTGATGGTGGGCATGTCAATCATGGAGTAGCGAATCTGGGACTCAGGACCCACAGGGTTGAGGCCTAAATGAAACCAGGATGAAGAAGAAAAGATGGCATAGTTAGCACTACCTACCAGCACCTCATCTATCCAGAAAAGGCAATGATCTGATTATCCTGATTAGCCAGAGCCAGGCCAAGAAACAAAAGAGGTGGGACAAGGCCTCTGAGCAAGCAAATTTAAGCAGCAAAGTGCATGCACCCGTTTCAGCTTCTCACAACCTGTTGACTCTTAGTTTAGACACAATTTTAACGGGTGTTTCTGCTTTCTCCATTGGTAGAAGATTAGTGCTCCCAAATTAGAAGGAAGGAAAAGGGTCAGTCCAGATGCAGATACCCCCTGACAAAGCAAGAAAAAGAAGAAAAGTCCAGACATTTGAATTACACATCTCATTCAATCTTCATCACAATCCTATAGGGTTACTTTACACAAGCACACGCATGCACACACACACGCACGATTTGGTGAGATTCGGTCTTGCTCGGGAGTGTACACGCAGTCAGACTCCAAAGCTGCTCACCTCATTACGCTGCCTCCTGCAGGAGCTCCAGAGGCGCACGCCCCTGGGGCCAGTCTGCAGGGGCACAGAAGTCCCACTTCCCTACAGGCCCACAGCGCAGTTCTCAGGGAGGCACAACCGAGAGCCCAGTTCCTCTGAGGTGCGCTTACCCAAGGCTCAGGATATTCTGCTTGGGAAGGCTGCAGAGGGTGAGCCACTTGTGGGAACCACAACCCTGGACACCGCTGAAAGACATGGCTGGTGTAGGCTCAACCCCTCCAGTCCGGAAAGCCCGGCTCTGAGCAGTAGCTCCTCCCCCTCAGACTCTGGAGACCAAGGTTTTGCTATTTGTGCGCATGTGAATGTCCTGTCTATATAGATATATATTTTGTATATCTACGTGTGTCTATTTGCATATGTATTACTAAATATTTACTATGTATATATTTTGTATAGTTTGTATAGCTTTGTGTAGTTTAGCTTTATTTATATGCGAAATACATAAATATATATTTATATGGATATATAAATATATTTATTATATAAAATATTAAATATATACTCTTATGTACCTCCATTCAGAGTTTTTTCTGTCATCTCTTCTGGATTTAATTTTATTTTCTTGAACATTTTTGAAATTGTTTATGATTGTAAAAGCAATATAGTATGATTTTGTTTCTGCAGATCAGTGATTGTCAAAGATTGGGGTTGGGGGACAGGGGCAGCAGTAGGGGATCTTGGAGGCTGGTGGAATGTTCTGTATCTTCAGCATGGTGCTGCTTACATGACTATGAATTTGTCAAAACTCAGAGTACTGAACCCTAAAAAGGGTGAGTTACTCTATGTTGAAAAAATGAATAAAAACATTAAAATGCTTAGAATAATAATATATATTAATTGGGAAAACATAAAAAAAAAGAGATGGGGAAAATATTGCCCAGAATCTCAGATTTATTTTTTTAAATATTTTATTATGCAAAGATAAACTTTTTTTTCCTTTCTTCTCTTTAAGTAAAACTGGAGTGAAACTGCAGTTTTGTGTCCCTCTCTTTTTTCTTAACAGCATGGCATTATAGCTTAGTTAACAGCACAGACTCTCAAGGCAGACAACCTCAGTTTCTCCCTCTGTAAGATGGGGCTAATAACGTGACAGTAAATATTAGCTTTTATTATATGTGAGTATTTTGCCAGGCATGTTGCTAGGTAATTAAATGCCCTTCAAATAATGCTTTTTAATGGCTTCTATCACTCTACCCCCTTATGTAACCAGTCCCCTAGGACTGGACACCTAGATTTCCTTTACTGGATTTTTTAAATTCCTTAAAGATAAGGGCAAGAGACAGTCTTTGATATGAACCCAGTGACAGGGTATCTTGATGGAGTTAACCCTGCTGAGGAAGAAGGGAGGGGCAACGTTTACTAAGCCTATTGCATGCCAGGCATTTGGCCTGTGCTGTCTTATAGCAGCACATTGGAGAAGCAGGAATCTTGATCTCTATTTTCTGGATGGGATGGTTAGGCTCAGACAGACAGAGTGAATTTCCGAAGGTCACAAAGCAAGTGAGCAACAGGGCCAGAATTCAAACTAATGTCCTCTGATTCCATGTCCAATTTCCTTGGTTTCTTGGTGCCTCCTATTAAAGTAATATAGAAATTTGGGCAGAGATCAAGGAAAGTTCCCCAGACAAGGCAACTCTGAGCTGGGCTATGGAGCATGGCTAGAGCAATGGATGGACATGTGAAGAGAAGAGGACCAGAGTGAGTCAGTTCCTGGGGGGGCTCTGAGCACCCTCCTGAGGATACTAGACTTGGAGCCTCTGATTTCCCATCTATAAATTGGGGGTAACAATGCCACGTTGAAGGACTGTTGCTAAAAGCCTGCACAAGAAAGCCAAAGCTTCTTGATATAAAAATATTGATATTCTTGATATTTTGATATAGAAATATGTAGTAGAGAACCACCACAGATAAACATGCAGCCTGCCCGACATCCCTCCTGGCTTAACCCCAGCATGCAGGTCCCCCTGCCCCCTCCCCTGCACACCTGTCCCTGCCTGTGTGAGAGTTAGCTGCAGACCCGACTCAAAGGCAAAGCCAACTGATTGCTCCAGATTTCACGTCAATGACAGCGCCATGGAAGAGACACTAGAATCCTAGGCAAGGCCATCAGATAGGAGCAGGTGCACTTCACACAGGAGCAGCTTCAAAACCTGCTTGTAAAAAACGTAACGAAGCCCTTGATTCTGCTCAGGCCATGAGAACTAAATGTGAAGGGAGGGAGGCAGTGTTGAGCTCACCAGGAAAATACTGCCCCCTAAAATCAACAGGGGATGCTTTCTTTGATTGGTCTAAGGATAGGTGGGTAGTTGCCACTATAGTTCTTAAATATTGATAAATATTGCTAAAAAGAAGATGACATCAACCTACTTTCATAGCTTTTAGTTTTGAATTGTAAGATAAAGTTCTGACAGAGCCTTGTTTAGGAGGCCCCTGGGGCCACAGTTTTAAGTAGACAGACTATTGTGGCTGCAAGCACCTGGGACTGCAGCAGTGGAGGCAGGTGTGGGGGCAGTGAAGATCCCTGAGAGACAGCCCAGGACAATGGGAGTTGGCGGGCAAACACCCCAGCTCCTTGTCCCTCAGGTAGGATGTGGCTGAGGCCTATTCTGTTCTGTCCCCAGGATCTCCCCAATGGTACTAAGCCCAGCTGCCCACAGCAATGACAAGCTCATTGACACCTGTCCTCCCTGTCTCACTGCTGCCCTCCCCAGCCAGTGCCCCCTGGCAGCACCTCCCACTTGGACCACTAAAATCTTCATCTCATGCTCTGCTTCTGGGGGGTCCACCTAAGGCAGCAGCCTACTCCTACAATTAGTCACCCTTGGATAATGAAGACCTCTGGAAAAATCAGAGGTGGGACAAGCTTGACAGAGCTGGAGAGGAGAGGAAGGCTTGACTCTGGGCCCTGCCTGGATTGTGGGTGGCCCCCAAGAAGGGAAACAAGAAGAGGGACACTTTGGAGCAGAAGAGCTTGGGTTCTGTCAAGGACTTGTTGAGTCAAAGGAGCCTGTGGGGCTTCCAGGAGGAGGTGTCCAGGAAGAAATGGAATGTAAGGCTTCTGGTTAAGATGGCAGAATAGATGGCCCCCAGCATCACTCTCTCCCACAAATCAACCAATTTACAACTATAAAAAAGCAACTACAGGCAAGCTGGGGCCACTAGAGCTCAGGGGAAGAGGAGAAGAGACCTACAGAGTGCATGAAGGTGGGAGAAGCCATGATGCAAGAAAAAGAAAACTGCTCAGAACATTTCAGGCCACAGCCACTTAAAGGCTGGAGCTGCTGAGCACATGCAGCAGGAGCCAGCAAAAGCCAGAGCTGTGCCCTTTGGATGGAGTTGCTTGGAGACAGCAGGGAAGAAGAGGGCCTTGGTGGCCCCCAGGACAGCAAGACCACTAATAGGGTTCCTATGGACACACACAGGAGCAAGGAGCCACAACAACTGAAAAAAAGGAGCCACTCAGAGGCTGACGAGTCATTGCAAGGTACTGGCACAGGGCCCATCCCATGGGAAGTGTTTGGAGCATGGGCAGTGGGGGAGACAGACCCACTGGGAGAACACTGGGACACAGCAAGGACAGTCAATCCACCCCCCAATCAGCACAGGACCACTCATAGGAGACTGGTCAGGAATATGGAATTGCATGGAGTGTAGTTTGGTGAAAAGACTCAGGCCCAGATCAGAGTGTCTACACAACCCAGGTGCACTGGGTCTCTGGAGAGCTGGAAGTACCTATAAGGTCAACCATTAAACCCTGAGCCTTCCCTAGGGAAACAGCAGCAAAGCAGCAATTTAGCTCTACCACAGAGCTCAAGTGCTGGTCCCAACAGGAAATTTCCCCATTTTAGAAGTAAGCAAAGAACAAAAAATTAGTTCTGGCAGAGGCACACTGCCAGCTCCTCAGGGCCCACCAGGGGACCTGAGGTATTGAGCCAGGGACCAGAACCCCACCCACAACCAGGCACACTGCCAGTGCCTTGGGGTCCACCAGGGGACCTGAGGCATGGGGCCATGGGCTGGACCCCCTGTCCACATCCAGGCACACCACCAGAGCCTCAGGGCCCACATAGGGGTCTCAGGAATGGAGCCAGGGACTGAATCCCCATCCCACACCCTGGCACACTGCCAGCACCTTAGGGTCCACCTGGGGAACTGAGGCATGCAGCTGGGATGGGACCCTCCTCACACAGCTGGGCACACTGCCAGCACCTTGGGGCCTACTGGGGGGCCTGAGGAACAGAGCCAGGGACCAGATCCCCCTCTCAGAACCTAGCACACTGCCAGTGCCTCAGAGCCTGCTGGGGGGCCTGAGGCATGGAGCCAAGACCAGACCCCCCTTCCATAGCCAGGCACACTGGCAGCACCTCAGGGCCCACCCAGGTGCCTGAGGAATGGAGTCAAGATCGGACCCCCCCTCCCTCAACCAGGCACACTGCCAGTGCCTTGGGACCCAACCAGGGTCCTGAGGAATGGAGCCAGGGACCAGAACCCTCTTTCAAAACCTGACACACTGCCAGTGCCTCAGGGCCCAACTGCGGTCCTGAAGCATGGAGCCAGGGAGCAGACCCCCCCACCACCAGGCACACTGCCAGTGCCAAGGAGCATGACAAAAACATCACCTCCATGTGGGCAGCCCACCACAGTAACCACGGCTGCCGTGAAAGTGACTAGATGTCACAACCACCACACAGATGGTCCACCAGCCACTGGAGTGCATTGACACAAGTAGAGTCACCAGCAGAGACCAAAGAAAAGAATAGAATGTCTCTCTCCACAAAGCCCATTCCAGAATGACAGAAGAAGCATTTGCTTTATGATAATATTGGGGGACCTGAACACACCTCTCATCATTGGACAGATCATCGAGGCAACAAATCAACAGAGTAACCATTACCCTTTCAGAGGGAGGAAGAAATCTACAGTTATCAGAGGTGGGAGGGGGGAAGGGGAGGGGGATGGGGAAAGATTGGACAAGGGGCATAAAGAATAAGTATGATTTGTAACAATATATATGCTAGTAATTTTGATTTGATCAACATATGGCAACATTGAACCCCCAAAATATGTATACTCAATTATGATTCAATAAAAATTTTTGGGCCGGCCCAGTGGCGCACTGCTACAGTGCGCCGCTTGGGAGCGCGGCGGCACTCCCGCCGAGGGTTCGGATCCCACATACAGACTGGTTTCCGCTCACTGGTTGAGCGAGGTGTGGGCGCAACACCGAGGGTTGCGATCCCGTTGCCGGTCCCGGTCCGGTACAGGCGTGGCACTGAGGGTTGCGATCCGTTGCCGGACACGAAAAAAGACAAAAAGGAAAATAAATAAATAAATAAATAAAAAATAAAAATTTTAAAATAAAACAAACAAACAAATAAATAAATAAAAGAAATGGAATGTAAGGGCCTGAGCTTTAGGGAGAAGACCCCCAGCCTTGAAAGTGGGTTAGGGCAGAGGAAGAGAGTTCAACAAAGAAGACTAAGGCAGAGGCTGGAGATGTGGAGAAAATCCAGGGGAGCATGGAGCCCCTGAAATCTCTAAGCAGGGGAGGCAGCAACTGCAAACTGAGATGTACCTCCCTGTACACACACACACACACACACATGCACACACGCACGCACACACACGCACACACGCACACGTGCACGCACACACGCGCAAACATGCGCACACACATGCACACGCACGCACACACACACACACGCACAAACTCACTAAGCACTAAGCACTCAGGGCAGGAGCCCAGGACTGCCCAGCCCTCAGGGATGGGTTCTTTCCCCAAATCACTCCCTGCAGGAAGAGCTCTCTTAGGGGCCCCAGAGGCCCCAGCCCACCTCCCCTAGGCTCCCAGCTCTTACCAATTAAGGTGCCCAGGTGGACATTGAGGCCCTGCACCAGGTTGGAGATGCTCAGGCACAGCTGTGGCAAGACAGAGAGAAGGAGGTTGGGGTCAGGCAGCCCTCGGGGTGGGAGAGGGTGAGAGGCTGGAAGGGGCCCAGCATCTCTGTCTAGAAGCCACCTGGACCTGCACACAGAAGCCCAGAATCCCTTCCTTCTTCCATCACCCAGTGGGCATCTTCCCGCACCTCATCTGGGCACTGAGGAAACAGAGGAGAAGCAGCCCAAAGGCTGATGGGGGTAGCATGGGTCTGTGGGGGAAAGAACAGGGGCTTGGGGCACAGCAGAGATGGCCACAGGCCAGACCTGAGCAACTGAAGCAGGGAGCCTGCTGCATCAGGGCCCCAAGGGCCAGCTGGTGGGAGGCTGGTACTTGTGGTGGGGCAGACAGGGGGCAGCAAGCCGTATCAGGCCGGGCTCCAGATGCCAGGCCAGGGAGACTGGAGGTTCTCTGGGCACAGTGGACAGCCAGAGAAGCGTATTAAGCTGGGGCCAATGTGATAGAAGGTGGGGCACAGGAGAGACTGCAGGGCCAAGGGGCACCCACAGCCTGGGCCAGGCAGGAGCTGGTGAGGCTGGGCCAGGAGAGGCCAGGAGAAAGAGCAGAGGGCCCAGCCTGCCGTCTTGCGGTGCTGCCTGCATCCCGTGCCCAGAAGACGCTGGCCATGAGGGGTGCTGGGGAGGACCACTGCAAGAGGAAGCTGCCAGACCCACAGGCAAGGCCAAGGGACCACTGGGGCAGCCTGTAGGACTCTCAGGACAAGTTGTACCACCTTTGCCCTTGAGCCTCAGTTTTCTCATCTACGAGATGGGAATGCTGCAGTCTACCTCTGGGGGTGTGGGATGGCACGCAGTGGGGTGACTTGGTCTCTACTGGTGCCCCTTAAAAGGAGGTGGGTGTCAGATGGGGCAGGGCAGGGAGGAAGAACCGGCTCCTCCTGGGCAGGGGTACCCTGGCCCCAGGTGCGCCACCTCTCAGCAGAAAATGATGAGATACAAAAGCAGCAATAATAGTAGCACTCACTCTGCCAAACTCCGTTCTAGACTCTTCTCAAACGGTAACGCATTTTGTACCACAACCACCCACAGAGGAGAGATGTTTACTCTCTTTCATGCCACATGTGGAACCAGTCAGAGGCAGGTTGAATGACCTGTGTCAGTTCACATCTGGGAAGGAGGGCATCAGGATTTGAGCCCAGGTCACTCTGGCTCTGGTGCCCCTGCCCTTGTCCACTCTCATTTTGTCTCCTTTGCATAAATAAACCACAGGGCCCCTGAAAACACTGTCCCTACCCTGTCCTCTAGCATGGAACTGGGGACTCCCTCCCCCGCAACCCCACTGACTCTGACCTTGTTCGGGTCTCCCCATCACTCCCCTGCCCCTTTGCAGCAGCCTCTTCCCCGCCCTCACAGGGGGATATGGAGGTGCCCCAAGATGGGCTCTGTTTTTTAAACAAATCCCGAGCTGCCCCCGTGCCTGCAACCCACCGCTCGTTCACCAGGCCTTCTGAGTTAACAGTGCCCCTTCCTGAGAAGTCTGAGAGGTCCTTTACCTTGTTACTCAAGACAGCTTTAATGTGCTTCTCCACCAGGACCAGCAGTGCCGGGGATGTGCTAAGGAAGAGACGTAGAAAGGGTCCTGAGTTCCCGGGACAAACCCATTAAGTCCTGTCTCTCTGCAAAAGCCACAAGCCTGGGAGACAAGTCTCTACCCTCAGCCAGGGAGCCAGCAAGTCCCACTCGGTACCCTGCCATATGCCAGATGCAGTGCTGGCTTTTCCCCACAGGTGAGGAAACTGAGTCTCAAAGAAGAGGGTCATTTTTCTCCAGGTTTAGAAGTGGCCAAGAACATGAGAAGTGAGGCCAGGCTTGCGGGACTCGGTACCCTGCCATATGCCAGATGCAGTGCTGGCTTTTCCCCACAGGTGAGGAAACTGAGTCTCAAAGAAGAGTGTCATTTTTCTCCAGGTTTAGAAGTGGCCAAGAACATGAGAAGTGAGGCCAGGCTTGCGGGAGACAGAGAAGATGTTGCAAAAGTCAGCCATGGCCTGCTGGCTCCGCGGCCACTCTGAGCCCACTGAGCGTGGTGGGTGGAGCTGGGATCCTGGGTCTGCTTCCTGCTTTGGCTGCAATTCTCTATGACACACCTACTAAAATCCCTTCCTGGCTCTGGGCCTCAGTTTCCCCTCTGAAGCAGGAGAGATGGGTCTAAGTTGATGTTTCTCAATAGTCCATAGCAACTTATGGCTCCTTGGTTTGCCAAAATGTGGATCCAAGTTACAGCCCACCCTCATTGAGTTACTTCTCAGGGGAGGTGGGAGGATGGCATCTGTTTTTTTAAAGCCATCAACCTCTGGGCTGCTGTTTCCCCTTCAATAAACTGTGAGCAGCCCCTGCCATGAGGAACATGGAGGGTCATGAGTTACACATGATGATCACAGGCACAAGTGTGAATACATTTATGTGCACACACCCCTCTCTGGGATGTGTCTCAGTCTTTGTGCAAACATTGTGTTCTTTTGAGCCTCCAAAATGCTCAACCATCTCAGAGTGAGCCTCTGCCCACGTTTGAGAAGGTGAAGACATAATGTAGGGGGACTCACAAGCAGTGGGATTAGTCAGGCAGCCTGGGTTTGAATCTGGCTACACCATTTGCTGTGCGACCTCAGACAAGTCACTTAACTGCTCTGTGCCTCCATTTATCCTCCTATAAAATGGGGGAAATGCTTATACCTACCTGGCAGGAGTACTGGAGGTCTAGAACAGTGCCCAGCACACAGTAGGCGCTCTGGTGGTGGGAGCTGCTCTTAGCCTTAGATATAGACATAAGCAGTCACCTGACTCACTGTGAGAGCTTGGCTGGCCCCTGCCCCTCCCTGGACTTCAGACTCCCCATCTCTGCTGAGAGGGCTGCTCTCTGAGGTCCCTAACAGCAGAAGGATCTGCCCAGAGTCCCTCCCCTAAGAGTATGTTAGTCGCTGGTGTGTATTAGTGGAGAGGACACAGGCTCTCTTGCTGTGTGACCTTGGGCAAGTCCTCCCCCCTCTCTGATCCTCAGTGTGTACAGCCATAAAACAGGCATGATAATGGGCATCTCCTAGGCCCATTGTGGCTGTTAGATGAAGTCATGAGTGGGAGATCAGCACGGCCATAGCATCTGGGATTCCCGCAGCCCAGCCCTCACCAGGCACCCACCTATTACTGCCATCAGTCACGCTGGCACGGCCGACGAGTGAGAAGCAGGCAGAGGTGCTCACCACGGGGGTCTCAATGGAGCCCAGGGCCACGCGGGCATCAGCCAGCAGTACCTCAGGCAACGTCAGCTCCAGGGGCTCTGGGATGCTGCAGGGAGGCCAGTCCTGAGTCCCAGAGGCACCACCCAGCAGAGCCCACCACAGCTGATCAGAGACCCCACAAATCCCCCAGCCCATGACTACCCTCCACTTGACATAGGCAGGTCTCCCACTCAGCATGAGATGGCCCCCCTGGGGCAGGCCCAGAGCCCCCCAAACTCCACTGGGGGTCATAGATGTTGCAGCAGATGGGTGTGAACTCTGGCTCCCTGAACCCTCCCAGAGATGCTGGGCCAGTCATTTGCCATGGTGAGCCTCAGTTTCCTCTTCTGTAAAATGGATGTAAGATTGGAGGTACCTATTTCACAGGGCAGTGCTGAGTTTTCTATGAAATAGTCATGTAAAAAACACCCAGCTCAGATCCTGGCCCACAGTAAGCACTCATAAAATGGTGCCAGGGCAAAGGAGTTAAAGGAGATCCCTCTGAATGCCCAGCTCACAGTCTGGAAATTAAACGCAGCAACCTATAATGTGCCTGATGCACAGAAATAATTCTGATAGCTCTGTTTATTGAGCATCTACTGTGTACCTTGCACTGCAAAAGGGAGGACAGTAATTATAACTACAGCAATGAATCCATTCACTGCAACCCTCACAGCCACCCTGCGAAGTTTCACCCCATTTTACAGATGAGGAAGCTGAGGGTTGGAGAAGTGAAGTGACTCCGCTCACTTGCACAGCTGTGGAGAGAGGGCACTGGACAGGAAGTCGGGAGGCCTGGGGAGTTGCTAACCCCTCTTCCCTCACTCTGCTCCTCGGAGGGTCCTGAAACTCCTCTGTCTCCCTCTCCCCCAACAAGGAGATTCACTCACCGAAAGACTTTGAAAGTAAAATTGGCTGCTGCCAACAAGCGTATCCCAAAACCAGCAATGAATTTCAGGTGGAGACGGGTCACATGCACATTCAGAATCTGAATCCTGCAGAGTAAGAATCATGGTGACAGGGTGGCCCCCATTAAACCATGTAATCAACTCAGGGAGGGGGTGCTCTGAGCCATACCCGCTCTGTTGATGATACAAAGAAGGACTTTCTGACCACTGGAACCAAGAGGTAAGGGTGAGGTGGTGAGTTCCCCATCCCGGGGGGACATGCAAGCCAAGGCTGGACAACCAGCTGGTAGGGAAAACATGCAGAGGGGGCCCCAGCCTGGGGCAGGGCTTGGGCGAGATGATTGCTCAGGCTTCTGACCATTTCTGACCGAGGTCTGGAAAGCTGGGAAGGTGGGGAAAGACTTTGGGATGAACAGAAGGCAGAAATCCCCTGCATAGCGACCCAGTCAGCATCTTTGGCTGTAGCCCTCCAGCCATGGGAAACTCCCCCCATTCAAAGCTGACTGCTCAGAAGGCTGCCGTGTGGCCAGACCATAAAGCTTTAGGAATCCTTGGCTGTTGTGCATTTACGTCATTCCCCGTTACTCACCATAATTCACCACGCCATGGACAACAATTCAGCCCTACCTAAGGGGTCTCGAACTTGTGGCCCCCAACCCAGGTTTTCTTACCCACACATTGTTCCAGTGCCTTAAAGTTTTTAATTTAATTAGTTGCCATTATTCAAAATTTGATAGAACATTATATATATATATATATATATCCCACTCCCCGCCAATATCTTCTCTTGGAAACTCAAAGATCTGGCAATAGTGAGTCTGTGTTCCCACATGTACGGTGACAATTGGCCCAGCCCCTGGAGGTGTCTGAGTTTTAAATGTCCCCACCTACCTATGCCTTTGAGTCTCTATGCATTAAGGGGGAGAGAGGAGGACAGTAAAATAGGCTCAAACTTGTGTCTAAGTTCAATGTCTAGCTTTTGGAGGAAGCAGCAAGGGTCCTGCCAGCCCTGGGGCCCTTGAGGGCGGAAATCCACTAATTCAGAGGCACCAGCCCCTATGTCTCCACCTTGGTCCCTTCTCCTAAATCTTGTGACTACTCACCTGGTGGGAGGAGCACTCATCTAGCTGGTTTGGGAGCACTCATCCAAAGACAAGAGTGATCATCCGGTGGCCTGGAGCATTTTGCCCAGTGGATGGGAGCACTTATCTGGCAGGCAGGAACACTCAACCTAGTGGCAGAAGCACCTTCTGCAGAGGGTAGGAGCACTCACCTGGTGGGCTGGAGAACATCTCCACTCTGGTCCAGGAAATGCGGGACAGTGACCTGCAGGGCTCGCTGGAGGTGGGCTTTCCCAATTTCAGACACTGTGGGGCCAGGGCAGGATGAGGTCAGGCTGCCCTCAGGAGCCGCCAAGCGGCAAGAACACACTGCCTTCCATCTGCTCTGCACCTTGGGCAGAGGAGATCCAGAGACTGGAAGGGGCAGGCTTGCACATGAGCACACAGGGAGGGCAGCTGGCCCCCCATGGGCCCACCTGGGGTGCACCACTCACATCAGGCTCTCCGCAGGGCATACCCTTCCTCCCTCACTCCTGCCTCTCAAAATTCTGCTGTTCACCCCATTCTTTAAAAACAAAATCCTTTGCCCTTTTGCAAGGCTCCAACCGGATCCCACCTTCTCCAGGAGCCTTCCCCAAGTCCCCAACCAGAAGAAGCATTTCCCAGTCATGCCTGGTCCCCTGTGGAGACGTCCCCTGGGAGGGGAAGGGCAGTCTTCCCTGGAGGCTGGGGACTCTAGTGTCCCTCAGATTCTGGGTGCAAATCCCCGCTCTGCTGCTCACTGTCCATGTGGCTGCTCTGTGCCTCAGTTTTCCCATCTGTAAATTCACAGTGATTATAACAGTACCTGTCACGTAGCGTTATTGTAAAAACAGTGCACAGTAAATGCTCCCTATTATCGTTATTTTTGTAGTCGTAGTGGCTGTCACTTACATAGTGCTCCCAGTGTGCCAGGCACTCTTCTGAGTGCTTTACTTTTCCTATTGTCATGCCCAATTTACAGAGAGGTGAGAATACCCGGCCAGAGGGAGCTGGCTCTAGACCAAGGCTCCAGAGCCTCTGGGCTTCCTCTCTCACCTGTGCTGCTGGGCCAGAGAGGTGCTAATGAGTTGAGCTAAAATGAGAGAGAGCTTCAGATTAGGAGTCAAGAGCCCCGAGCTCTGCTCAGACTCACTGTGGGAACTTAGGAAGTCCCTGAGCCTCTTTGGGCCTCAGTTTCTCCAGACACAGAACATAAAGGTGGTTGTCTCCAGGCTCCTGATGATCCTGTCTGGCCTGACCATCTGCAGCTGAGCTGAGACTCACACCCAGGCCTGGGACTCCATATACAGTGCTGTCCTGACACAGGCTTGAACTTCGGGGCTTGCGCGATGGGGAGGGACGGACACAGTAAGAAGCCACCCAGCCCAGCCTTGGAAGTAATGTGTGTGATGTGGGCAGCTCACCGGATTTCCGTAAAGAACAAACACAGGCAGATGAGATGGGGAGGGCTCCCTGGGGACAAAGGAGGATCAAACAAGACAGGCAGAGGGCGGCAAGCCTCATGTCCCTGCCCGTGGCATCCATGCATGACTCCGGTCACACTCTGCACGGATCACTGACCCCTTTCATTGCCTGCTCATCTGCCCAAATACAAGGTTCCAGAAGGCTGTGTGTGCTCGAGGGAGGGGCGGGGAGGAACTTGCGGCTTTCCTGAGCCACTACCTCACTGCTTCATGGCCTGGGCCATTGAAAGTCCCTTGTACTATCTGACCTGAGCCCCTCACACTGTGTCCTGAGTTTGGTCTGGCCTTGGGGGATACAGCTTCTGATTTCTCATCCATGACCCAGCTTTGGCAGGACCCCAAAGCTCCCCAAGAAGCAGCTGGGGTGAATAAAGATTTCTGGGCTGAGGTCCTGGACCTTGGCAGCTTTCGTTCCTCCCTGGGCTTCGGTTCCTCAATGTGCCTTCCCCAGGGGATAGGGCAAGACTCGGAAGCATCTAGCAGCAAAGCCATAGGACAGAGGCCTCGCCCAAAAGGGGCCTAGAGAGGGGCTGGTTCCCTCCCTCTGAGCCCAGCAGGGATCTAACTTTGGGATGCTCCAGGCAGTGCTGCACTAGACATGCCTTTTCCAAGCACACACATGCATGCAGACACCACACATGCACACGGGTGCACCGACAGCCAGGCACATGCCTTCCCAACACTCAAGTACACACAAAGGCACGTCTCCATGAGATTCAAACTCATAAGTAGACAGACACACATAAAAATAGCCATTCGAACCAACCTTTGCCCACCCCATGAAAGCATATGAGCACAGTCGTGTGTACACACTTGCATGTTGGCCATATGACATATTCTCCCAGTCATGCATTTATTTAATACATATTTGTTGAGCAGCACTGTGTCAGGCACTGTCTGGGTGCCAGGGATACAGCAGCAGATAAAAATCCACGTCCTCAGGGGGCTTTTGAGTTTATAGATACACGTGCACACTCAGGACTGTACACACACGTACAGACATGGTCTCAGGGGCACATCTCTTACCATAGCTCAGCACCTCATTGTTGAGTCTGACCACGGCGCCTGGTGTGGAAGCACTGACCACGGACAGCAGCAGGGGCAGCAGTAGGCCCAGCCCACATGCCCAAGCCATGGCCACCCTGGCCACTGCCCCCAGGATCTGTGGGCTGGGGTGGGACAAGCATCAGGGAGCTTGGCCAGAATAGCCCACTCCGAGTTGCGCTGCCCAGCCCCCCAGACATCAGTTTTTGCATCTCTGCATCAAGAACAATCACCTTCCCCTGCCTGCTTTATCAGGAACCGTGGGGGAATCTGGTAGAAATGGCCCCCAAAGCCCAGAGAAGAACCAGCCTTGCCTAAGGTCACACAGCTGAGTGGGGTCAGGTACAGGACCCAAGCCATGTCAGAGGAGGCTGGTGAGACTCCCAGATAGGGAGACTGAGGGCAGCTTCCTGTTCCAAGAAGAGAGCTCAGGCCCACCATCCCGAGGCCCAGGGCTGTGTCACCTGATGCCAGGAGTCCAGCCCAGCATGCCAGCCCAGCCCAGCCCAGTGTCTAGCTGTTCAAACTCAGTGAGGGGAGGGCCCAGGGTGGCTCCTGTCCTTATCTCATCCTGGCCAGGTGAGAAATGGCCTAAAAGTAGGCCTCTCACATTGTCCCCAGCCCCTGCCAACCCCAGCACAGCCGAGTGGCCACATCTGTGTCCAACTCAGGGAGAGGGAGCCAGGTGGGAACAAGGGGCCACTGTCCAGAGGGCTGCCAAGGCCCGCAAGGCAGCACTTGTCCAAAGTCCCACAGCAAGATCAGGGGTGCCAGTGTCCAGCTGTTCAAACTCAGTGAGGGGAGGGCCCAGGGTGGCTCCTGTCCTTATCTCATCCTGGCCTGTCTAGCTGTTCAAACTCAGTGAGGGGAGGGCCCAGGGTGGCTCCTGTCCTTATCTCATCCTGGCCAGGTGAGAAATGGCCTAAAAGTAGGCCTCTCACATTGTCCCCAGCCCCTGCCAACCCCAGCACAGCCGAGTGGCCACATCTGTGTCCAACTCAGGGAGAGGGAGCCAGGTGGGAACAAGGGGCCACTGTCCAGAGGGCTGCCAAGGCCCGCAAGGCAGCACTTGTCCAAAGTCCCACAGCAAGATCAGGGGTGGACCCACCGCAGGAGGTGTCTGGATGTAGCGTCCCCACTGAACAGATAGAGAAGCTGAGACCCCTCCTTGAAGGTGTGCCAGCCCCATTACCAGTCCTACCTCAGACGGTTCCTGAGGCAGCCCAGGCCAGCCCTCCTCTGCCCCTGGCAGGCAGGTATGCAGGCTGCTTTATGAGTCTCTGCCGAATGCAGGGCCCGATGGGAAGGGATCTGGGCAGTGGCGGGTTTGCTTGTGGTTGCAAGTGTTTTCCCTGCAAACACGGCCTTTGCCAAAGTGTCTCATCCACATGTGTGGTGGGGCTGCCACGTAGCCAGGCCTGGCTGCCAACCACGGCAAGACCCTAGGGTTGGGCAGCTTTGGCCTCAAGGGCCAGGAGATCTTTGGAAGGAGGGCCACTCCCAGAAGGGCACCCTCATCATCCCAGCCAGACCCAGCCAAGGCCCTGGAGTCAGGGGGTACCCAAAGGCAGGGTGATGGCTGCCATGGCCTCTCAAGCTTGGTTCCTCCAACGTCTCCCAGAAACACGACCCTTTTAGAAGGGGCAGGAGGCTACCTAAGCCCCAACCCCAGTCACTGACTAAGCCCTAGTCCTGGTCACACACTGATCTCTGACCCTTGTCACACACTGAGCCCTGATCCCAGTCACTAGCTAAGCCCCTACCCTTGCCACTGACTGAGCACTGATCCTGGTCACAAATTGAGCCCTAACTCAAAAGGAAACAAATGAGAAAATGTGGATGACCTAGTCCCCACTGCTATCCCAGCCTCTCTCCAAATGCACAGGCCACTCACAATGGATTTAGCCCACCGTCTCTTTCCACATTACAAACTCCAGGCTCTACCTTGGCTATATGGGACCCAAGGAACTGTGTGCACATAAAGGAATTTGTATATATTTGTATTTGTGTGAGAGAGGATTGTGTGTGTTTATGTGTGTGTAGTTGCATGTGCATGGTCACATATGCATTAGGTCATATTTACTGGCATCAAAAGAAAATGTGTGTTTATGTGTGGGTGTGTACATGAAATGGGCATGTTGATATCTTGGTGTATGGTGTTACATGCCTGTTTACACAAACCTACACAAATGCAGATGTGGGGAGTTTTGTGTACACATACGTACATGTGGGTTTGGTCTACTGACTGTGGATCTGGGAGTGTATGGGGTTAGGTGCATGTGTGTATGTGTGTAGCGGACTGTTTCCTGGCGTCAGGCTGTGTGTGTATGTGTTTGTGTGTGTGTGCACACACAACATGTGCATGGCGTAGCTGCAGGGAAAACCCCTCCGTTCCTGTGCATGACTCACCTGGGCACGGGCACAAGGGCCTCAAGGCCTTCTCCCATTCCAGAGCCCTCTGTGGCTCCCAGAGACTCCACGCAAGCCCAAGTACCAGTCCCAGAACCCAGGTGCACCCTGTGCTAGGTCTCCAGTGGTTCCCACAGAGCTGACAGGGACTGCTAACACCATCAAGCCCTCCCCTGTGTGGCCAAATCTCACCAGGACCAGCCCTGCTTCTCAGCCAGTTTTCCCCCATGCCTAATCTAGAAGCAAAGAGGACTGAGATGAACCTGCTGTGAGCTCCCTAACATCCTATTCCTGGCCTCAGTTTGCCCACTAATGCATAAGACCAGGCCCTCCTATCCCCACACCAAAGCCAAAGTGAACAGCAGACTTAGTGGATAGAGGCGCAAATATTGACCAAAGCCACACTCGGTGTTTGCTCTCGGCGTGAATGCTTCCTCTTCCTCAATATTTCCAGCACAGGAGATGTTTGGGTGGCGGCCAGAAGACACAGAGGAGGGAGATCCTCACCAGCTATCCCCATAGCCCAGCAGCCTCCCTACAGCACGGTAAGCCCCGCTTGGTGAGCGCCTGCTCCCTGCAAGATGTTCTGCAGCTACTTTACCTACCCCAGGGATGAGAGCTGGCTCTGCTCAGTCCTGTATCCAGTGCCTGGAACATACCAGATGCTTAATAAGTATTTGTTGAATGAGTAAATGAATGAATATACAATGGAAAGACCCTTGTAACAATTATTGTGGCAGCATTTCAGAGTTTCCCTTTCACTGAATATTCTCGGGGGTATTGTATGAGTTTCCTATTGCTGCTACAAGAAATAACCACAGACTTAGTGTCTTAAAATGTGAATTTATCATCTTATCATTCTGGTCCAAGATGGGTCTCATGGGCTAAAATCAAGGAGCTACTGGCAGGGCTATATTCCTTTCTGGAGGCTTCAGGAAAGGAACTGTTTTCTTGAATTTTCTGGCTTCTGGAGGATGCCCTCAATCCTTGGCTCCTGGCCCCTTCCTCCGTCTTCAAAGCTATCAAGTTGGGCTGGGTGTTTCTCATTCTACCATCTCTCTGTCCCCCACTTCCACATATAAGGACCCTGGTGATTACACTGGGCCACCTGGATAATCTAGGTTACTCTCCTTATGTCAAAATCACCTAATTAGAAACCTTATTTCCATTTGCTAGCTTTAATTCTCTTTTGCCATATAACAACATACTCACATGTGCAGGTTTTAGTACAAAGGTCTCTCTTCTGGGGAACGTTATTCCACTTCCCGCAGATACTTAGTCTGCAGTTTTGAGCAAATACAAACAGGGGACAAGAGTGAAGTCATTTTAGCTTCTCTATCCAAATGGTCAGGCCCTCTACAGACAGGGCGAACAGAAAAAACTTAGCTATTCTTTTCCACTCTGTTATGCTTGCATTTTCCCAGTAAAAAGTAGAACTTTATCAAAAAAACACAGCACATGTGTATTAATCTGTTTATGTTGCTTATAACAAAATACCTGAAACTGGGAGATTTATAAAGAAAATGACATCTATTGCTTACTGTTTCTGAGGCTGAGAAGTCCAAAGTCCATCTGGTGGTGGCAACAGTGACCCAGGGGTCTCACATTGCAAGATGGTGGAAGCAGAGAGAGCAGAGAGAGCAAAAGGCAGACTCTCCTCTTCTTTTAAAGCCCCTGACCCTGACCACCATTTTTAATCCATTCACTACTGCAGGGTCCTACAATCCAATCACCTCTTCAAGGCTCCACCTTTCAATTACCATAGTAGGATTCCTCACCCTCTTAACAGTCTAATACGTAAAAGTTTCTAACACATAAAACTTGGGGGACACAACTCAAGCTTCAGGGAGTTTTGGGGGGACATAATTCAATCCTCTACATTCCACCCCTGGCCCCCCAAAACTCATGTCCTTTTCACATGCAAATGCATTCATTTCATCCCCAGAGTCTTAACTTGTTTCAACTTGAAGGTCCAAACTTCAAAGTTCCATCTGTGAATTAAAAACAAGTTATCTACTTCCAAGATACAATGGTGGGACAAACACAGGGTACATATTCCCATTCCAAAAGGGAGAAATAGGCCAAAAGAAAGGGGTAACAGGTCCCAAACAAGTCTGAAACCCAGCAGGTCATGCATTGAATCTTAAAGCTGGTGAGTCTTGTGACTTGACTCCACGTTCGACGTCCTCTGCCCACTGGTGCGGAGGTTGGGTCCCCAAGTCCTCAGGCAGCTCCACTTCTATGGCTTTCCTGATCTCAGGTGATGCTTTGGCTCTCACAGGCTGACGTTGCACCCCATAGGTCTGGTGTCTCCACGGCATTCCCGCTCTCATGGCTCCACTAGACATGGCACTGTTGGGTTTCTCTGCTGCAACTCCAGCCCTGTATTTCTGCTTGGCATTGTTCTAGGGAAGGTTGTCTGTGGTGACTCCGCCCCTGAGACATATCTCTTCCTGGGCCCCCAGACTTTTCCTCACATCCTTTGAATCTGGCATTCTGTGAGCCTAAAGACTTAACACCACATGGGTGTCGCCAAGGCTTCTGGCTTCTACCTTCCAAAGTTGCAGGTCCAGCCACACCTGGTACCCATTTAGCCATGGCTGGAGCAGCCAAAGCAGCTGGGGTGCTGGTGCTGGAAGCAGCTTCCCAAGGTGGTCCTGAGCAGTGAGCCCATGGAGGGTGCCTCAGGCCTGTTCCCCAAGACCATTTTGTCTCCCTAGGTCTTCAGGCCTGAAATGGAAGGACTGGCCCCAGAAGCTTCTACAATGCCTTCAGGGCTCTTTTCCCCTTCTTTTGATCACCTTGCTGGGCTGCACCATTGCATGCTTTCTGCTTCTCTACCACATGGCCAGGCTGCAAATTTTCTAAATTTTTACACTCTATGTCCCTTTTAAATTTTGGCTTTATGTCATGCCTTTGCCGCCATAACTCAGCATTGGCTGTTGCAAGTAGCCATGCAGCTTGCTTAATGCTTTGCTGCTTAGAAATTTTTTCTGCCAAATGTTCTGGTTCACAACTCCTAAGTTCCAACTTTCACAAAGTCCTAGAGCATGGACACAATTCAGCCAAGTTCCTTGCCAGTTGGCAGCAAGGATGATCTTTGCCCCAGTTTCCAATAAACTCCTTCTGATTTCTATCTGAGACTTCCATAGAATGGTCTTTACAGTCCATATTTCTATCAGCATTTCTGCTTGCCATCATGTAACCAGTCTCTAAGACATTCCAAACTTTCCTTTTTTGTCTTTTGTCTTCTTTTTGTCTTCTTCTGAGTCCTCCAGACTCCTCCAACCTTTGCCTAACACCCAGTTCCAAAGCTGCTTCCACATTTTCAATTATTTGTTATAAGCAACACCCCACTCCTGGTACCAATTTTCCGTATTAGTCCATTTTTGTTGCTCAGAACAAAGTACATTGAACTGGATAATTTTTAAAGAAAATGAAATGTATTGCTTACTGTTTCTGAGGCTGGGAAGTCCAAAGTCCATCTGGTGGTGGCAACAGTGACCCAACGGTCTCCCATTGTGAGATGGTGGAAGCAGAGAGAGAGAAAGACAGACTCTCCTCTTCTTTTAAAGCACTCAGAACCACACCCCTGACCACCATTTCTAATCCATTCACTACTGCACGGTCCTACAATCCAATCACCTCTTCAAGGCTCCTCTTTTCAATTACCATAATAGGATTTCCCACCCTCTTAACAGTCACAGTTTCTAATACATAAAACTTTGAGGACACAATTCAAGTTTCAAGGAGTTTTGGGTGGACATATTTCATTCCACTACAACATGGGACGTTATTTTCTGTTATGCAAAACACCCACCAGTAAAAATCTCAGCATTACAAAATGCACTGACATGCAACCTAAGAAGGTGGTGTATTTCAGAAGTTTGGAGCAGAAAGGATCTAGGGAACAAGGAAGAACATGGTCTGGCTATTGGGTCCACCTCTTGCCCCTGACCAGCCCCTGAGATCCTGGCTTGGCCCTTCCTGTCTTGAGGAGTTTCCTCATCCTAATTTCCCCAACCTAAATATTGAAAGTTGCTCACATGACTTCCTCTGAGGAGAGGTTCTGGGGCCAAGCTGGAGGCTGGGCAGTCCCCCTGCCCACCTGCTCTGTGAGGTCACAGTGCCAACAGCTCCACTTGTCCTTGGCAGATTCCACATGGCACCTTCCAGGGAACACTCAGAGGCAGCAGCAGCAGCCACTTTCTCTTTACCTACTCCCAGAAATCTCCACCACCATCCCTCATCCTAGGGAAGGAAATCAATGCCACGGACCTCAAGGAGCTCCAGGGATCCTTGTGCCCCATCTGAAGATGTGGCCCACAGCATCAGGGTCAGGAGGTGAGGACGACAGCCCCTCCCTTCATCCAGCCGTTTCCAGTTTATAAAATGCTTCCCCTCTACCCTCTCCTTGGAGGTGAGCAGACATTGTCAAGTGCACTTTACAGATGCAGCAACTGAGGCTGGAGAGGTTTGGCAGCAGCTTTCCCAAAGTCCCTGGCCAGAAAGTGGTGAAGCAGCCATCCTTTCAGCATGTGTCTATTGAGCACCTCCCATGGCCGGCTCTGCACAGAGGACTGGGAGCCAGCGTTGCACCAGCCCGACATGCTCCCTGCCCTGATGGAGCTCACAGTCTAGGGAAGGAGGAAGACCCCAAGCAAGGAAACAAGTGTTTCTGCCATCTTTATCTGAGGCCCCTGCTTTCAGATGACGGAAATTCCAACTCAAAATGATGCCTCTGGGCCCCCAAAACTGGGTGTATATCCCAAGAGGGCATACAAAACAATCCATTAGAGTGAGGGAAGAAATGATCAGAACTTCATTCTCTTTTAATTTAAATTGCTCAGGAATGTATAAATAGATCTGTACATTTGAGAAGGGAAAATAATATATTAGCACAATTGGGCATATATATAATTTCTTTTTTATTGAAGCATAATTGATTATACATATTTTGAGGGTACAGTATTGACTATCATTATTTGTGCACAGTATGTGATAATCAGATCACTCTTATTAGCATATTCATTATTACAAATCATAATCATTCTTTGTGCCCCTGACCCAATCTCTCCCTAAGCCCCCTCTCTCTCCCTTTCCCACCTCTAGTAACCATAGCTTTGTCCTCTCCTGAAAGTTCAATGTGTTATTATGGCCGGCCTTCATTCCTTTCTCTTTCTTTCTTAGCTCCCACTTATGAGTGAGGACGTGCGATATTTCTCTCTCTGTGGCTGGCTTATTTCACTGAACATAATTTTGTCCAAGTTCATCCATGCTGTTGCGAATGGCAGAATTTCAATCTTTTTTATGGCTGAATAGTATTCCATTGTGTATATATAATTTCTTAATAAAGAAACATAAAAACACTGGGGCTATAATTTAAAATGTTTGGAGAACTTTGCTTAAGAACTAAAGAATTTTTTTTTTATCTCAAGTACCAAGAGGTCCTAAGTTGAGCGTGGCTACAGAACACATTAATCCTGTGGTTCTGCAATGCCACCAGGACCCAGATTCCTGCCATCAACTTGCTTTTCCTTTGAGCCTCCTCTCATGGTCACATTATGGCTGCCACAGTCCCCAGTGTCATGCAGAAATGTGGCTGTCTAGGCTGGAAGGAGAGAGAGCATTGCTTCCTGTGGGTCTCATTTTAGCAGTGAGAAAACCTTTCCCCAAGTCCCATAACCTCGTAGCCACCCCCCACCCCACCCACCTCGCCCCTGCAGACTTCCCCATCCTCGAACCAACCACAGCAAGGGGAACAGGAGTACTGCAGCAGGCTTCAGCCAGCGAGGATCGCCTAAAATCACAGGAGGCAGGAATACACACCAACAAACTCAGGCTTCTACCAGCCTCCAGCACATGGTGACAACCACCTGAGTCCTTTCCTCAATAGTGACCTGGACTTGGGTCAGCCAGACTTGGGTCTATCCTTGCTTCACAGCTGGCGGTCTCAGGCAAACTTCTCAGCAACTCAGTTTCTTAGTCAGGAATGTGGCAACATCATGTTCCTCGCAAATTATAAAATGCGATTGCGGATCTTGTCATCCTCAGAGTCAACCAACGTGTCCGGAACACCACCTGCAGGTTGACAGAAGATTCATCCCCAAGTTTGAGTGAGCAGGAAGGGGAACCCCTGGATCTTGTCATCCTCAGAGTCAACCAACGTGTCCGGAGCACCACCTGCAGGTTGACAGAAGATTCATCCCCAAGTTTGAGTGAGCAGGAAGGGGAACCCCAGGGTCTTCATGGGCAGCTGAGGGGCTGAGGCTCGAGTTGTCAAGTGGGCAACCCAGAGTCACCCAGCAAGGGACAGGGGTGAGGGGCAGGACCAAGCTCTGGGTACTCACCAGGTGTCTGCAAGCACCATGTTCCAGAGGCTGGCTTGACAGTGACGTGACAGTTCTGTGTCCTCTGCAGGTGATGCCCTCCTGTTACCCAGCCGCATCAATGCCTCGGCCCTAGGCCTGACTCAGTGCATGCTGGGATGTATGTGTACGTATATACCGAGGAACCAACCCCCTTAGCTGTGAATGTGGGCCTGGGGAGAGGGTCCAGCCTCAGGCCATGCTGACCTGGGGACAGGTAAGGCCTGCACTGGGCTGCAAGGGTTGAACTCTGGAGGTCTACCTATCAGAGGTGTCATTTCAGCCAGGATCTCTTTGGCGGTTGGAGATGGGAAGTAGGAGGGAGACTTGCAGTTTGGAGAAGGAGTCAACTGCCAGCCTTCCTCTACTCTGCCACCAGCCTGGCCACTGTTTCCATCCATCTATGAGTCACACATCAATCCACCCATACCTTTATTTGTTAACAGACACAGCCATCCAGTCATCAGTCCATCCATCTCTCTATCCATCCGTCCATCCTCTCGCTCTCCCATCCTTTTATCCACCTTCCTACTCATCCATCTTCCAAGCTAGATAGCCATTCTCTTCTCCATTCTCCATCCACCCACGTATGCTCTCACCTTCCCATCCATCCTGAGCTCCTGCTTTTTGCCTAGCTCCATACTGGGCATCCAGAGATGAACCGGACAAGGACCCTGCCCTTGCCAAGCTCCCAGTGTCTGGGAATGGGCATTCACACTTTCCAACCTTTCTGTGCTCCTGCGTCACTATGAAGCATCTTTTAACTGCCAGTTGCAAGCAGTGCTCACCTGCAGTACCTGTACTCACCTGAAGCTGGCACTTAGCCATAAGCAGAGCCCAGGACTGTCCTGGACTTGACCAGGAAGTCAAGAGGGTCTCCCAGCTCCAGCGTCTTCCCCAGGCCACAGGACAGTCAGCGAGTCCTTGTAGTGGGACAAAGTAGTGCAGCTACTCACTGCTCTCCTGTCTCCTCTGCAGCCTGGTTCACCCGCCTGTCCTCCTTCCTGAGAACTCAGGCCCAGCAGATTCTGTTCAACACCTGCAGGTGAGCAGGGGCAGGTGCGGGGAGGGGATGAGAGCTGGTAACAGGCAGCTCGTGACCGTGGCAGCCCCTGTATTGGTTTGAACCTCCCCTTGGTAGCCAGACCAGATAAGCTCTTCCAAACCTGGCTTTCATCAGCTCCCCCACCCCAGAACCCACCATGGCTCCCCATTGCTCCAGCTGCCCTCATTCTGCCTCCTGCCATGAACCCACTGGGCCAGCCAGGAGAGGGCTCTCACTCCCTGGACTTACCACTCCTAGTCCCACATCCCCCCCTTTGCACATGCCCCTCTTCCTGCCTTTCTTTCTGGAATGCCTGTCCCTTCCTTTCTGTTGACCCTTCATGTCCATGTAAATGCCTCTGAATTCCCCCAAAGCCGTCCACCTCATTCATCCATTTAAAGTTTACATGTCAAACGTTTTCTTAATGCCTACTCTGGGCCCAGACTTGGCCCCACCACTCATGAGTTCCCAGTCAGGTGGGAAAAGCATACACCAACAATAGTGCCAAGCTAGGAGTGTGGACTGTTCACTCTGGAGGTCTCAGGAGGGGGGGAGATTCGTGCTGACCACTGAGAGATGTGCCCACCAGAAAGAGGCAGGAAGGGAACAAAGAGCGTGCACATAGTGAAAGGCGTGGGGAGCAGGAGGCTGAGCACTTGCCGGGGCTTGCCAGCCTCGCCGCGACTGCGGCTTTGCTGTCTTCCAGATGCAGCCTGCTGTGCCAGAAGCTCATGGAGAAGATGGGTGTCCTGGTGCTCTGTGCTTTCGGTGCGTCTCCAGGGCCCTGCCCAGTCCCGGGTCAAGGTATCCCTGGGTTCTGAACCCTCCTGGGGAGAAAAAGAGCAAGAGCTCTGGCACTGATAATGTGACACTTGCTAAAACACTACCCCTCTATGCAACTCAGTTTCCCCATCTGTCTAATGGTCATTACTGTGAGGATTAAATGAAATGGTGACCAAGAAATTTTTTTGAAAACCAAGAAATGCTTTTAAACTGTACAGCTCTCCCCAAACCATGTTATAATCATTGTTACTCCCTCTTTCTGGTTCCCACCTCCCATGTCACAGCTTTGCTTTCCCAAGCAAAGGAATCTTCCTTCTGCACGCAAGTATACTGGTCTTGGAGTCGGGGGTGGCGATGGGGGAAGGAGGGAGAATTAGTTCCTCACAGGAAAATGAACAGTGAGTCTGAGGGAACTTTCCTGCTTTAACCCAACAAATAGGTTTGTTTAAAATAAAAGCTTTATGGAGATATATTTCACATACCATAAAGTTCATTCTTTTAAGTGTAAAACTCAGTGGTTTTTAGTATATTCACAAGGTTGTGCGTCTATCACCACTACCAAATTCCCGAATATTTTCACCAACCCAAAAAGAAACCCCCCAGACCTCTCATTCCTCTTCCCCTAAGACCTGGGCAACCACTAATCTATTTTCTTTCTCTATGTATGTGCCTCGTCTGAACACATCACATAAATGAATAAAACAATACGTGGTCTTTGTGGCTTCTTTCGCTTAGCATATTGTGTTCAGAGTTCATCCGTGTTGTGGCGTGTGTCAGCCCTTCATCCCTTTCTATAGCTGAAAATATTCCATTGAATGGATGTACCACATTTGGTTCTCCACTCATCAGTTGATGGGTATTAGGATTGTTTCTGCTTTGGGGCTGTTACTAATAATGCTGCTATGAACAATTCTGTACAATTTTTGTGTGGGTGTGGATGCATGTTTTCACTTCTCTTGGATATATACCTAGGAGTAGAATTGCTGGGTCATATGGTGACTCTATGTTTAACTATTTGAGGAATTGCCAAACTGCTTTCCAAAGTGACTTCACCATTTCCATTCTACCAGCAACGTATGAAGTTTCCACTTTCTTCACATCCTCCCTGATACTTGTTATCATCTGTCCTTTTTATTATGGCCATCCTAGGAGGTATGAAGTGGCACCGCATTGTGCTTTTGATTTGCATTTCCTTAATGATTAATGACATTGAGCACCTTCTCCTGGGCTAATTATCCATTCATATATATTCTTTGGAGAAATGTATATTCAGATCCTTTGCTCATTTTTAATTGGATTATTTGTCTCTTTATTATTGAGCTGTAAGAGTTTTTTATGTAGTCTGGATAAAAGTCCCTCATCAGATAGATGATTTACAAATATTTTCTCCCATCCGGTGGGTTGTCTTTTTGATTTCTTGGTGGTGTCCTTGGCAACACAAATTTTTTTTTTTTCCTTTTTTGTCTTTTTTCGTGACCGGCAACGGATCGCAACCCTCGGTGCGATTTCTTGGTGGTGTCCTTGGCAACACAAATTTTTTTTTTTTCCTTTTTTGTCTTTTTTCGTGACCGGCAACGGATCGCAACCCTCGGCGCTGCGCCCGCATCTCGCTCAGCCAGTGAGCCACCGGTCTGTATGTGGGATCCGAACCCCTGGCGGGAGCGCCGCCACGCTCACAAGCGGCACACTGCAGCAGTGCGCCACCAGGCCGGCCCAAAATTTTTAAATTTTGATACAGTCCAGGGTATCTATGTTTTCTTTCATTGCTTGTGCTTTTGGTGTCATATTTAAGAAACTACTACCTAACTCAAGGTCACGAAGACTTACCTCCCACGTTTTCTTCTAAGAGTTTTATAGTATTATCTCTTACATTTAGGTCCATGATCCTTTTCTGAGTTAATTTTGTATATGGCCTGAGACAGGAGGTCAAACTTTATTCTTTCGAATGTGGATATCCAGTTATTCCAGGACTATTTATTGAAAAGACAATTCTTTGCCCAATTAAATTGTCTTAGCACCCTTACTGAAAATCAATTCACCATAAATGTGAGGATTTATTTCTGGACTCTCAATTCTTTTGATTAATCTGTATGTCTATCTGTATGCCGATATTACCCTGCATTGATTGCTGTAGTTTTGCAGTAAGTTTTGAAATCTGGAAGTGTGAATCCTCCAAATTTGTTCTTTTTCAAGATTGTCTTCATTATTAGGGATCCCTTATACTTCCATATAAATTTTAAGATCAACTTTTCCATTTCTGCAAAAAATACCAATGGGATTTTGATAGGAATTGCATTGATTTGTAGATGAATTTGGGGAGTAGTGTCACCTTCACAAGATTAAGTCCTCCAATCCAGGGACATTGGCCGTCTTTCCATTACTGATGGATATCTCTATATCTTCTTTAATTTCTTATAATGATGTTTCATTATTTTCAGAATACAAGTGTTACATTCCTTTTGTTATATTTATTTCTACGTATTTTATTCTTTGGAAATGGAATTGTTCCCTAATTTTATTTTCAGATTGTTTATTGCCAGTATACAAAAATACAATTAAGTTTTGTATATTGATCTTGTACCCTGAAACCTTGCTAAACTCAATTATTAGTTATGATACTGGGAGAGATATCTAATTTTAGACACCTTAGAATTCTATATGCAAGATCACGCCATTTGCAAATAGAGGCAGTGTAACTGTTTTCTGTGTGATAATCTAGATGCCTTTTACTTCTTTTTCTTGACTAATTGACCCAGCTAGGACCTCCGGTACAATGTTAAGTAGAAATGGCATGAGCAGATATTCTTGTCTTGTTCTTGATCTTAGGGGAAAAGTAGTCTTTCATCATTAAGTATGATGTTAGCTGTGGATTTTTCATTGACGCTCTATCAGGTTAAGAAAGTTCCCTTCTATGCCTAGTTTAAGTGTTTTATCAAGAACAAAAAAGGTTTTAAAGGCTTTTAAATAACAGCTTGAGTGTTAGAATTTCAGTCAGCATAGATATTATAAGATGCAAAAGAGTCCACCCTGTTTTCTTCCCTTTACCAATTATCCCCAGTAGGGATGGGCTGGGAAAGGAGTAGGAGACACAGATTATCTGGTTTATCTGACACACATTACGTATATGATTTTATGCTATTATGAAGTAGACATTACTGTTATTCCCATTTTACAGAGGAAGAAAATGAGGTATTGAGAGACTAAGTAACTTCTCCCAAACTTGCACCATGCTAGTAAGCGGCAAAACTGGGATTTGAACCCAAATGCCTTAACTCCAGAGTGTAGGCTCTTAATCTTCCATGTTAAATCGCTCATTCTTATTCTCATGGCCCAACAGGATTCTGGGTGTTATCTATGCATATACCATCGAAAATGGAAGTCTGGCAGGTGAGTGTGTGCCCTCTGCAGGCCCCACGGCTGACTGCTCTCACCCCATCCAGTCAATGTCACCTCCATAACTCCCCTCACTCTCACCAAATCTGGGTGCTAATCAGTTTCTGATTCATCCTAGATCCAAATCTCTGCCTTTGTCCTACCACCCACCTGGATCCCATCTCTCCTGCCAAATGTGACTTTCAAAGACCAGAAACAATAGTTCCTCCTCCAGGATGGTTCTCCTGTCACCCCCCGAGGTGACCCCTCTGTTCTTTCTCAAGGCCCCCACCTAAAGTGAGGCAGTAAGAACAGGGAACACATTTTCCTCTCTACTCAAGCCAGTTTGTTCCTCTGCTTACATGTTATGACAGCCATTTCCCTTGTGGTTTCTGTGGAGGAAATAGGAGAAAATCAGTGGCCAGAGCTCCCTGTTTGAGGACAGCAAAAAGTCTTGGAAGACCTGTAGGGAGAAAGGATTTGAGGGGCTGGTCTCTCCCTCTCCTTTTCTTCCCCTTATGAACTCCTTCATATCCTTCAAGGTACAGCTAAAATGTCACCTGCTTCAGAAACACCCAGGCAGAAGTGGCTACATTCCTCTCTTTAATCTCACAATTTTCTGTAATCATGTACCAACAGCTCCTTGCAGGAAGGAGCTAGGTCTGATTTATCCCAGCAATGTCCAGCTCAGTGCCAGGCACAGGGTTGCCACTATCAATGTTGAATAACTGGATGGCCAGATGGGATCATGATGGATAAGTGGGAGAATGGATGGATGAAACAACGCATGGGTGGGAGGGAGGATGGGAGAGATGAGTGGGTGGGTGAATGGATGCATGGATGCATGGATGGATGCATGGGTGGATGGACGGATGGATGGGTGGGTGCATGGATGGATGGACGCATGGATGGATGGATGGGTGGGTGCATAGATGGATGGATGGATGGATGGATGCATGGATGCATGGATGGATGGATGTTAGGGTGGATGCAGGGGATAGAGTGAACGAATGGGAGGGCACGTGGATGGGGAGGTTGGGGAGATGGAAGAATAGATGGATGGAGGAGGGTGGTAGAAAGGAGGATAGATGGATGGGAGGGTGGATGGATGGATAAAAAGGAAAGCAAATTGGAGTTTGGATAGATGGGAGGTGGGTGAATGGATGGAAGAGTAAACAGGAAGGTGAATAAATGGATGGATTTATGGTTGTGGGAGAATGAATGGATAAAGCTCTATTGGGCCCAGGTTAGGCCGGCCCTCTGAAAGAGATTCCTTGTTTTTCTCAACACAGGATAACAGCATAAATAGTCCACTGCAGATCTTGAGGTAAGAGAAATCTTATGAGTAGTCCTATTATCACCTACAAACCAGAGCGGCCCTCTGAAAGAGATTCCTTGTTTTTCTCAACACAGGATAACAGCATAAATAGTCCGCTGCAGATCTTGAGGTAAGAGAAATCTTATGAGTAGTCCTATTATCACCTACAAACCAGAGCAGTAGTCAGAATTCGTGGTTTATTGCCTAAAAATATAGGCTCTGTAGTCAGACCAAACTGGGTTTAAATCCTAGCTCCCATACATCCTACCTGCTGACTTTATGCAAGTCACTTTATCTCTTTGAGCCTTTGACTCCTCATTTATGAGATGAGTAATAACATCCACCTTGCTTTGGGTATTTATGGGCATTAAAGAAAATGTAACGTCTTGAGTAGTTCCTGGCCCACAGTCAGTGCTCAGTAAATAATAGCTGAGAAGAAATTTTAACCAACAGGACTCCACCTGGTGGCAGCATCCTTAATTGCAGACAAAATACTTAGGAATATCTGGAAGGGATGGGCTTTAGGAGAGTCCAAGCAGAGGGGAAAGAATGAGGAATGTTTTAAAGATAAAAACGTGCCGGGTGGGTCCAGCATGGGCCCAGGAGAATAGAAGAATCTGAATCTAGTTCTTTGAGGGCTGACTAGCAAAGGGAGAATCTGAGGGTAACAATGGCAGCATCATAAATCAGTTCGTTCTTGTTCTCTCACTCCTTCCTGACAAGGTTGTACCAGGAGAAGGTGCGACATCACACTGGGGAAATCCAGGACCTCCGACGTAGCATGAACCAGCTCATCGCCAAGCTCCAGGAGATGGAAGCCCTGTCAGATGAGGTGACATGCTGGCCGCTCTGCCCCCAAACACCTAACTTCTCTCTTCAATTCCCTGTTTCCTCTATCCCAAGTCCTTCTTTCTTGGTTTTATTCCTCATTTTGAGAGCGTATACCCCCCAGTGACTTCCTGGAAAAGAGTGAAAGAAGATATATATATATATATATAGATTTTTACACTTGTATGTTTAAAAACATTTTTATTCTACCCTTCCACTTGATTCACAGTTTGGCTGGTATAGAATTCTAGAGAGGAAATAGTTTCTCCTGAGAATTTTGAAGGAAGTCCATCACTGTGCTAGTTCACACTGTTGCTATGAGAAGAAGAATGGCACTCTTATGATTGATACTTTGAGTGTGATCTGTGTTCTTGTGGGTTTTGGGGGGGGGCTTGGATTTTTTGTGTGTGTTTTGTTCGTTTGGGTTTGGTTTTTTTTTTATCTCTGGGAGCTTGTAGAATACTCTTTTTGTCTCTAATGGTCTATATATAATCTGCTTGGCATTTTGCTGAGCTTCCTGAATCTGTGAGTTGATGATTGTCAATAGTTTTGGAAAATCTTAGATTTTAACTATTAAAATATTGCTTCTTCCCCATCATATCTCTCTCCTCTCCTTGGGTTCCAATTACCTCCATCCTATACCTTACAATGTGTTTCATGTGATTATTATGCTATTACCTTATTTGTTTGTTTTTTCATTCTTTTTCTCTATGTACTTAAGTCTTGATATTTTCTATTGACCTTTCTTCAGGTTCACTAATCATCCTGTATTTTGTTTGTCCCATCCACTGTTAATCTACCCAATTGGTTCTTAATTTCAGATATTTCATTTAGTTCTAGAATATATATTTGATTCTTTTTCATAGATTTTAATCTATGGTGAAATTCTCCAATATTTCATCTATGTTGTCTATCTTTTCCTTTATTTTATTTGACATATTAATCACAGTTATTTTTTAAATCCTTATCTACTACCTCTGATATCCAGACCATCTATGGTCTCCTATTTTCTGTTTTTCCTCTTGGGTATCAATCATATGGTTTTGCCTCTTCATAGCTAGTAATTTTTTTAGTGTTTTCTAGACATTGTAGGCAACCAAACTGCAGATGCTCCAAATAATTATAACTTCCACCAGACAGAGTTCCCTTTTCTCTGTAAAAAAGATGACGTAGACTGACTGCTTCTGTCTAGACATGCACTGAGCTGCTTCAGACAGACCTGGATTGCTTTTATAAGACTTATCCAGAGGTTTTCAGCTTAACTCTTTAGACTCTTGCTCATGCAGCTTCAAACATGTGGCAAATGTGTTAATGGGAAAGACTGACCATATGTTTGAGGCCTCTCAAGTCTCCAGTTTTGTCACTCAGCCCTGCATAAATGCAAAATCTCTGGCCTTCGTGGAATCCTTCTCTGCCAGGGACAAACTTGGATTCTCAGCTTCTAATTGTGCCCAGAATTGGTTTAGTGCCCCCGGGTGAAGTGCAGTTCTAGATACTCAGTAGATTCACCACTCCTTCGAGGGCAATAGATTTATTCAGAGTATGGCCCACATGCCTGCAGCATCAGCATCTCCTAGAAAAGCATTAGAAAGTCGGATTAACAGGCCCCACCCAGACCTACTGAGTCAGATACTCTGAGGATGAGAAGAAACCATTTGTGTTTCAACAAGCCCTCCAGGTGGTCCTGACACACACTGAAGAGAGCCACTGTTCTAAGGCTTTAATCTCTTGCTTGTTTTGTTTTCGGGCTCCCTTCCTCAGAAGGACTTTTTTCCCTAAGCATTGTGAGGATGTGAAGTTTTATTCTGCCTTTATAAAGAGAGTTTTTAAAAGAGTTCACAAAGAGGGATTTCACTGTGAAAGATTCAGCAAAACTTTCTACAACTTGTCTGCACTTTTCATTGTCCCAAAGTCCCAGTTTCCAGTACCCCTTCCTCTCCCTTCTAGGTTTCTGTCAGGGTTTGAATCCCATCTTCACCACTTATTAGCTGTAGGACTCTGGTCAATTTACCTAACTTCTCGGGGCCTCAGTTTCCTCATTTAGAAAATGGGTTGCTGTAAAGATTAAATGTGGTAATTCATGTAAACCTTAGAATAATATCTGTCATATGGTACGTGTTTCCTAAATGTTCATTGCCTTTGAACAAAGGCAGAATCCAAGAGCTACACTAGTCAATATGCAATCATTAAGCACCTGCTGTGTGCTGACCCTATGCTGAGAATCCAGGATCAGGGATAAACTAGATCCCATCCCTGCCCTCAAGGCAGTCCCAGGATCTATGGACCCCAGAAATGGATCCAGACTTGGGGCAGAGAGAGGGTGGAAACCAATAGGGAAATTTCTTGGAGTTGGTGACCCAGTTTTGAGGAGGAATGAGTGAGAATTTGCCCAGCAAACAAACCAAGAGTTGGGGATATTTTACCCTTTGGAGCTGTGTAACCTCAGGCAGGTCATCAACCTCTCTGAGCCTCAGTTTCCAACTCAACAAAATAGAATCATAATCATTGCCCTGTAACAGCCTAGCTATTGTTCTAATTACCACTGCTACATAACAAACCATCCCAAAACTTAGTGGTATAAACAGCAATTTTACTATGGTCAGAGATTCCGTGGGTCAGCGGTTCAGATAGGACCCAGCAGAGATGATTTGTCTCTGCTCCATGGTGTCTGGGGACTCAGCTGGGAAGATTGAAGGCTAGGGGTGACTCAATATCTGGGGCTGGAATCATCTGGAGGCGTCTTCACTTAAGTGTCTGGCTGTCAGATAGGAACTCAGTTAGGGCTGTTGACCAAAGCACCCATCTATGGCCTCTCCACGTAGCCTGGGCTACCTCACAACTTGGTGGCTGGCTTCCAAGAGTGAGCATCCCCAGAGAAACAGGTAATGTGGTATCATCTTGTAGGACTAAGCCCTAGAAGTCACACGGCATCACTTCTGCTGTATCACAAGCCCAGATTAGTGGGAAGGGAACTTAGACCCTTCCTCTCAATGGGAAGAGAGTCAAAGTCACATTGAAAGAAAAGTATGGAATGGGGGACCTTGCTGCAGCCATTTTTGAAAAACAGAACATGCCACAAGTATGAAGAATCTGATAAAAATAATAGCTAGTGTTTATTGAGCACCTACTGTGTTCAGCACTTTGCAGTCTTTACCTGGCAATAGAGTGTAGTGGTTAAGAGCCTGAACTCTGGAACCAAACTCTTAGCAGCTGTGGGACCTTGAACAAGTTATGCCTTTGTGTCTCAGTATTCTCATCTCTAAAATGGGGTGATAATACTACATACTTCCTAGGGTGCTGTGAGGGGATAAGAGCGGACATATGTGAAGCTGAGAAGAGTCCTGGCACATAGTAAGGGCTTTATAGATCTTCTCTCTAGTCCTCACAACAGCCGTCCACAACAGCGGGAGGAAACATGATATTGTCCCCATCTTACGGACAAGAAAAGCAAGACTCAGAGGGGCAGTTACTTGCCTGAGTCCCCACAGCAGTAAAGGTCTGCCTGACTCCAGAGCCCCTGCCCTTAATCTCATTGAGACTCTGAGTCCCCTATGTGACATCCAGTCACAGTGGACCTGAAAGCAGCCAGTAAACCCAGTGGGTGGGGGTGGCTCTTGGTCACCTAGGCTTCATCACAGTATAGTGAGTGACTGCACAGTCCTGTGCAGGGGCCAACCACTGGCTTCCATAGGCAGGAGTAAGCTGTTAAGGAGAAGAGGTGTCCTGCAGCCGCCTGTCACCTGGTGTGGACACACACATGGGAATCATGGTGTGTAAGAACACACCAGTGCACAGCTTGTGTTTTCTGCCTTCTCAGCAGAAAATGGCCCAGAAAATAATGAAGATGATACAAGGAGATTACATCGAAAAGCCAGACTTTGCCCTGAAGTCTATTGGTAAGTGACCTTCCCCTCCCCCATCTTCCCACTTCAAGTGGCCTCAAAACTCTTCAGAGGGTCAGTTCTGGTGTGGTACCTGCTCTGATGCTGGGAAGTCCATCCTCAGAGCTCACCTCTGCTCTCTGATGCTTTTCGTGCTACAATTTTGTTTTCTCTGATGGTGTCTGGGGCGAGGTGGGTGGGGTGCAGGGACCGTAGGCTCTCAACTCTGCCCCTCGCCCATCCCCGTTCTCCAGACCTGGTGCTGGACACACAGAGGTCAGCAAGACAGAGCTGAGCCTGCCTGGGGGAGGGGGAGGCTGGCCACATCAGCCAGCCAACACAGGACGACTGGCAGTCAGGAGCCAGCACTTTGGGAACACTAAGGCAGGTGACCGAGGGAGAGGGGACCTGGGCAGAGTGAGGCCTTGGGGTGCCGGGGACTTTTGCCTTGAGACCTGGTGAGGAAGGAAAAGCATTCCAGACCAAGGGGATGAACGTGAAAGTGCCCCCGTAGGAAGTCAGCAAGAGCACGTGAGAGGCAGCTGGGAAGGAGGTGAGGTGGCCGCAGAGGCGCAGGCAGACCGACCAGCTGACCGACAGCTCAGGCTCAATGAAATGTGGGCTCCGAGGCCATCAGCCTCAACCCCCGAGTGACCTTGGGCCCCACTTAACCTCTCAGGCTGGAGTTTCCTCCTCTGCAGAATGGGTATGAGAATAGCCATCATCGTATCCCACGGCCGGTCACAGCGAGCGCTCACTCTGTGCCAAGCTCTCCTGGAAGAGCACTCTGGTGTGCTCGCTCATGTCAGTGTCACAGCAGCCCCATAAAGTGGCTGCTGTCAATGTTACTGGTACGACTCCCATTCCCCAGAGAACACTGAGTTCCAGAGATGGCCAGTGACTCCTCCAAAGTGCCGGCCTGGCGCACAGTGAGTGACCAACAGTGGGGTCCCCTCTGCCAGGCAGAAGCTGGGCTGCTCAGCTGAGACCCCCCCTTACCTCCTGCACAGGGGCCAGCATCGACTTTGAGCAAACATCAGCGACCTACAACCATGACAAGGCGCGCTCCTACTGGAACTGGATCCGGCTGTGGAACTATGCACAGCCTCCTGACGTGATCCTCGAGGCAGGGGGAATGGCAGGGGTGTGGTCAGGGCAGGGTCCAGGGACAGGAGCTGGCAGCAGAGGTTGGGGGTGGGAGTGAAGGGGCTGGGACCTGGGGCAGGGTTAGAGGTAGGAGCAGGAGACAGACAGGGGCAAGGTTGCGGGCGAGAACAGATAGCAGGGGCCACTGGGGACTAGGGTAGGTGCAGGGCACAGGGACAGCCTGCTTTGGCACTGGAAGGGGCCCCACCACCCAGCCCTCGAGACTGAAGGGTCAGGGAACCCTCAGGATCACCCTGGGGATGTACCTTGACATATCCGTTTTGCAGAGGAGGAGACAGGCTCAAAGAGCCAGCTCACTTGACTGCAGCCACACAGCTGGTCACTGGTATGAGACAAGTCCAGATTTCAAACCTGAGCTCTTTACTCGTCCTGAATCCTGACTCACAGAGGAAGAAACTGAGGCCCAGGGAGGGGAAGAGACTTGGCAAGGTCACAGAGCAACTGCCTTCATTCAGCAGCCACCAGCTGAGCCTCTCATCCTACTGGCCAGCACTGGCCAATGCCAAGGCCATGGGCAACCCGTTCATTGACTCCACCCTCAAGGAGCTCCAGGATCTAGCACTTGGGGCTACTCATAAAGGATGGGGAGGCCTCCTGGTGGAGGTGGCCAGGGATGAGTGGGACTTCACCAGTCAGTGAGCAGGGCTGAGGGCCTGCCAGGCAGAGGGGACCACAGGGGCACAGGCCAAGCACACAGCCAGGGAGTGCAGGGTGGTTGGCAGCCCCAGGCCAGGGAGGGTGCAGGCCTGGTTGCCCAGCACTCACTGCAGGCAGGTGGGAGCAGTGGTGCAAACGAGCCCAGCAAAGCTCTGCCCTAGGCCTTCGTCCCCCTCTAACCTGACCGAGCTCCCTTCAGTTCCATGTCATCAGGCCAGACTCCACTGGGCCTGTCCCCTCAGCTCACTTTCCCAGCTAACCCCTACTCTCCTGTGGTCCCAGCTCCTCCAGGAGGCCTTCCCTGACCCCCACAGCCTCCTGCACCCCTTGTCCTAGCATCTACTGTTCCAGATAAGGCCCATCCACACTCTGTCTCCAAGAAGCTCAGAAGCTGCTGAATGAACGCCTTTGCTGTGCGGTTTCAGCCAAACTTCTTTCCCTCTCTGGGCCTCTGTTTGTCTTCATGAAGCAGGAGATTGGGGTGGTTAATGGCAAGCCCCAGGGTCAAATTGCCCAGGTTGATCTTCCAGCTCTGCATGGCTATGGACCAGTCACTTCTCTGCTCTGTTCTCAGTTTCCTCATCTGTAAAACGGGGATAGTAATGGTGCCTAAGTCATAGGGTGATTGTGGGACTATGTCAAGAATGACGGGAGGGATGAATTAGTGAATGAATGAATGGGTGCCAAGGGGGAGAGGCTAGGGGCTGGGAGGCCCCAAGCAGGCCCTGCCCTTCTTGTTCTGGACTGAGGGGAAAGTTCACCCTTGCTGCCGGCACTCAGGGAAGCTTCCTAAGAGGGTGACACTCTAGCCAACCTTTGTAGACAGAAAGGACTGGCCAATCCTGGATGGCTGAGGAAGTGTAGGGGAGCCGGGGTGGGATGAGGAACCCCCCTACCCACCCAGCATAGCCCCACTTGCACTTGCCTCTTCCAGCCCAACATGACACCTGGCAACTGCTGGGCCTTCGCGGGTGACCGTGGCCAGGTGACCATCCAATTGGCCCAAAAGGTCTACCTGTCCAACCTCACACTGCAGCACATCCCCAAGACGATCTCACTGTCGGGCAGCCTGGACACTGCCCCCAAGGACTTCGTCGTCTACGTGAGCGTGCCCCGGCAGGGAGCAATGCTTAACTAAAGGAACAACCTCATAATGGTGGCACCCCAGGCCTCGGATCGGCAGTGTCTGCACAACTCACGCAGGCTAGAGGGGCTGGAGGAGGCCTGGGGAAGGCTGGCAGGGGCCAGGGCCGGGGTCAGATCTCAGCCTTCAGGGAAGCAGATGGAACAGCTACTTCAGTTCAACCCAAGCTCTCCAGAGCCTAGACGGTCTTCAGAGACCATTCACCACCATTTTGAGAATGATCTGGATCTTCTCAGTAAAATGAGGTCCAGAGAGGGGTCAGGGAAACACTCCAATTCTATAAGTCAATGGCAGAGTTAGAAGACCCCATCTGTTATGCCGTGCTGCAATGAGCAGCGCCCAGAGAGGGCAGGGATAGGGTCAGGGTTAGGGCCCTGATTGTATCTGACTCCTTCTCCTTGGTTCTGGTTTCACAGGGCATGGAAAACTCCCCCAAGGAGGAGGTGTTCCTGGGGTCGTTTCAGTTTCAGCCAGAAAACATCATTCAGATGTTCCCCCTCCAGGTACTCGAGAAAAGTTGCCTGCACTGAGCACCTGCTGAATGTACACTGTGTGCAGGCTTTACCCAGGGGACCCTACTTCATCCCCCAATAGTCCTGGGAGGTGCACAGTCATTACTAACCCACTTGACAGATGAGGAAACTGAGGCTCAGAGAGATGAAGCCACTGCCCAGAGCCAAGAACGAGACTCTGGGGAGACACATCCAGCCTCTGGCCGTCCTCCTTTTCCCCCGATTTGCCCAGGAGCCCTCTTGCTGCACCTGGTCCCAGGGACAGCAGAGGTTGAGCAAGAGATGCCCATCAGGCAGGGGTTGCCCATTCTCCATCCTCATCCAACCACAGGTGGCGAAACTGAGGCTTGGAGGGAAGAGAGTTGGGGACAGAAGCAGGAGTGGGGATTGGGGGTGCTACTGGAATGGCCATGGAGTTTGATAGGGCAAGTGTCCAGGCTCGGGAATCAGGCCAATAATGGTCCAAATCTCAGACCAACCACAAATTCTGTGTGATCTTGGGACATTTGCTTGCTCTCTGGAGCCTCAGTTTCCCCTTCTGTAATTTCCTGGAAGTTGAAACTATCCAGTGAGACCTTGAAGGCCAAGACTCCTCCCCGCCTTTTCACACTGGGCAGGGAGTAGTAATAAACACAGACTCCACTCTCTCTTGAGGGGCAAAAAGGGGCAGGTGCTGCAGAACGTCTGCTCTGTGCCAGGTGCTGTCCAGCCACAACATCTCATTTCATGCCGACAGCAATTCTGGGAAGCAAACATCACCACTCCCATCTTACAGAGGGGGAAACTGAGGCCCAGAGAGGGGGGGTGGTCTGTCCAATGTCCCACAGAACATATATTTCCAGGGTCCCAAAGCTGGGACATTTTCCCAACCACAGTATGTCTGTCTTTCTGGCCTCAGCACCTTTCATCCCACCCCGTGAGTATATCAACTTGCTGTGTGGCCTTGGGACAGTTCATTCCCCTCTCTGGGCCTTTGTTTCCCCACCTGTGAAATGGGAGAGTTCCCTTCCACTCCCAAATGCCCCTCTGGACAGGCAGAATTGGGGGCTGTGGGTGAGCTGCCCCTATATCTGATTTTCTCTTCCAGAACCAGCCAGCCCGGGCTTTTAGTTCGGTCAAGGTGAAGATCTCAAGCAACTGGGGGAACCCGCACTTCACCTGCCTGTACCGCGTGCGAGTGCATGGCTCTGTGACCCCACCCAGAGAGCAGCCTAACTAGAACCCCTACCCTGAGAGAAATTAAAGTTTATTCTTGACACCCCGAGCTGAAGTCTGAGTGTCTTTTGGCCCCAAAGAGGGAGGGTGAGATAGCATTCGACATCTGAGGCTACAGTTAGCAATTACTGCTCACATGCTGGGTGCCCAGGCACCTTCACAATAGCCCCAGGAGGCCCCACTTCACAGATGGGACAGTGAAGGCTCCAAGTAACAGAGTGACTTGCCGGAGGCCTAGCCAGCAAACGGCAGCACCAGGATTCAAACCCAGCTTACCCCTAGCCTATAAGTGACCTTGGACTAGACCCCACTCTCTCAGAGCCTCAGTCTCTCCATCTGTACAATAGGGACAGGATTATGGCTGCTGTATCAGATGAGAGGTCCCTGCCCTGTCCACTGTGGAGTATTTCAACATCATATGGATGACTTACTGTGTGACATTGGGCAGGACATACAGCCTCTCCGGACCTCAGTTTTTCCAGGTGTAAAAGTTTCTGTGCCCCAAATATCAGTCACTCATATTTTGTCTGTGTAATCTTTGCCATAGTTGAGTCCCACCTGTTCTAGTGTGTACTTGAGAGCTTATAGAAATGCAAAAATCTGTGTCTACTGCCAATACCAACCATAACTCTGCCCACGGAGCTCTCAGCACAGAGCATGACAGGTGCTGGGTAAAGGCTACTGTCAACCTCTGGTCCCAGGCAGCTCATAGGAGGCCCAGTCCTCTGGGAGAGGGTGATTCTGGCTCTAAGCAGGGGTCCAGAATGGGGCAAGCTGGCCACGCTGGAGTGGGAACAGGGACTGGAGGCTGAGAGAGGGAATTCTTAGCGGGCAGGGGCAGGGAGGGGTAAACACTGGCAAAGGTCCAGCCAGGCATTGAAGGCAGATAGATCGGAAATACGCCCATCTGCAGGGAGGGCACCCCGGACAGGCCCTTGCCTGCTGCAGAATCTACCCCTCTGGCCATTGGCCAGGCCTCCATGCCAGCTCCTGGGGACCTCCAGCTGCTGGCCCCAGGGCCTGCCTTGCCACGGGCTCCACAAGGGAACAGGCTTCAAGGGGTCACCTTGCACTCTGCCACTTCCCACCCTCTTACAGCAATCGGTAGACCTGGAGGCCACACACGTCCAGCCTGGCATCCTTTTGGTAGTTTTTATGTGAACAATTCTTGTTATTAAAAAGCCAAATCATACTGAGGTTTGATAAAAAGCGAACCCGTAGACACCCATTACCACCCCCAGTGTTCCCCCAGCCTCACTCCTCCAGCTGTGGCGTTTTCTCCCAGTCAGTTTAACTTTGTTTCAAGTCTTCATTCAACAGAGTTTTTTGAAAACACTACATTATCAAATCAATCTGTTCCTTTACAGCTTCTAACTTGTGTGCATTGTCAGAAAGGACATCTCCAGCCTGAGTTTATAGACATATACTTCTATATTTTCTTCTATTAATTTTATTACACTTCCTTGGCTTCTTTCTTTTCTAGGCAAACTGTAGAATTGGCTTGTCAAGTTGCATTTTTGAAACGCGCTGGACTTGCACTGGTTTTACGGGCTCATGGTGGAAGATAAATCTCTTGGCCACATCAGCTCTTCTCTTCCCGGAACGTGGAACCTTCTCTCCATTTCTTCAGGTTCTCTTTCAACATCCTTCAGTAAAGTGTCTGTCTTTTGTTCACACTTTTCTTCTCAGATTTAACCCTGGATATTTTACAAGTTTTAGGTATTATAAATGGGGTCTTTGCCCCCAGTGACATTTTCTGTGGTTAGGGCTGCTGCGAAGGAGACTCTTGCTGTTTGAGACACCTGTGGCACTCGCACCTTCATGGTCCCCACCCTCCTGAGGGTTCAGATTAGTCCCCCGGGTGCTCTGGGTAGACTCGCCTATGGTCCGCAAGTGTCCATAATCTGCGGGCGCTCACACCCCTCAACTCATCTCCTCCTCACTACAGGGGCAGAGCATTCCCACAGACATGAGGAAACTGAGGCACAGGGAGATGTAGCCACTTCCCAAGGTCACACACAGAGTCGCGGTGGAGCGGCAAGCCCACCCCAGACCTGCCAGGCCCCGAAGTGCTTGCTGTCCCCTCCAACCCTTTCAGTCATTTCTGATTCCAGTAGGTTGGGATGAACCAACTGTGTGGAGCCAAGAGAGGAGAACAGGATAGTGGATGTGACAGCTCCGCCCCAGGGAGCAGCAGATGGCCCACCCCATCCGCATGACTGAGACAATCCCACAGACAAGGTACAGGACACGCAGAGCCCAGGAGGTGCTCAATAAATGGCAGTCTTGTTATTCACACTAGGGGCACCTGCTGCATGTGGCTCAGCCCCCTGCCCGGTTATCAGGCTCCCCATTATTCACCATCGGTTCCCCCTTCCCCTACCCCACACCCGTACTCCTCAGCCCACATGCCTTCCCCTCCTCCAAGGGCAATAGTCCCTGGGTTGAGCATTACAGTTCACAGTGCACTTGAATAGCCCCTCTGCACAGACAGGGAGACTGAGTTCCTGAGAGGGACCTGATCTCACCCAAGCTCACGACAGAGCCCTGATTAAGCCCAGGCCCCACAGTGGCTGCTCTGGCCAAGAAGGTGCTCATTTCTAGGGCAGCATCCTGCAGGAGAACAAAGTGGCCTCTAGGTCTTCCACCTGCCCACCCCATTCCAGGTCCACAATGCACAAGGCTGGCCATCTGCCGGCCATTCAGCCCACCCACTGGACTGCTCCAGAGCCCTGGGCTGCTAGCCAGGGTGGGAGTCAGCTTTCCAAGGCGACCAAGACAGAACCGGAGGTACAGAGTGCCAAACCACCCCCTAATGCCCCAGGAGTGGCACCTCCGATAAGCCTAGCTCATGCTTCAGGATTTTAGCTAATCCCACTAATCCCCGGACGCCAGGCCAGGCACAGCTGGGGCAGGCAGGCGGGGCCGCTGCTTCTCTGAGACTCAGAGACCCCTGGATAGACAGTAGGTAAGGGCCCCAGTGATGACACAAAGCTCTGGGCCCCACCCCTGCCCTGTGCTCCTTCACTGTATGACCTTGAGGGAGTCGCCCTCTGAGCCTCAGTTTCCCCATCTGCACCAGGAGATGCTAGTCCTCACCTTCTCCCTGCCAGAGGGGGACTGAGGCCCTCAAGATCCAGGCATGAAAGGCCCTTGTCAACTATGGTATGAGTACAAGCTGCTTCACACACGAGATAGGGAGTATCACATTCTTTACTTCTCCAAATCAAATTCAGCTCTGAGCCCCATGCATCCAGGCCACTGGGAAGTCACACAGCAGTCACTTTGCAGGTATCTGTCCCCCTTCCAGAGCTCTGGGCATGATTAATCCCTGGAGAGGAGGGGCCAAGGCTGTGGGTCACTCATCTGTCATGGTCACAGCCAGAGAGCCTAGGCCCAAGAAACCCCATCCACCCTTCTTCTTGACCATGGGGCCCAAGGGCTGTGGGAAGCTCTAGGTGGCCTGGAAGCCTGGCTTAGACTCTGGGGCCCCCAGGCTCCCTGCAGCCTTCCCAGGTCTGTGGACACACAGAGGTTGCTCCTGCCCGCAGCAGCCAGCAAAGAACCTCCACTCTGCTCAGTTTTCAGACACAGCCCTGGCGTGTACCTGGGGTTTGGGCTCCAGGAGGGGTCCAGGAGAGGTCTGACCAGGGAAAGAGAGGCAAAGCAAGTGAGCTTCTGCCACTGCCCCGACAGTCCTGAGTCCTTTGAGCTCCTCAGGCTGGGCCTGGAGTGGGAAGGAGAGGAGAGGTGGCTTCATTCACCTGCCAGGGTTCAGAATAGCAGTGCACCGTAGGGACCCCTCCTTCTTACCCTGTCAGCTTTTTTACCATCAATGCCACCAATCAGCCGTGTGGCCAAGTGAGGGCATTACCTCCTGAAGGTCCCCCTGGGACAGGAAGGAAGTCCCTGGACAGCCCTTTCCAATTAGCACAGACATGCCAGGCACCATCCCAGGAGGCTCTGAGACCCTGGGTTTTGCAAAGGGGGGTGAGCAATAAAAATGGCAAGTAACGAACACCCTGGGCCCTGGGCAGAGGGCTTGCCCTGCTGCGCCGGAGGTGGGCAGCTCACAGCTGTGCTATCTAGTTCTGGAGTCACTGCTGGTGAAGGGTAGGAAAAAAAGAGCTGGGAGCCAGGGGGTCTGTGGCTGTGGGTGCCCAGGGGGGACGAGGCAGCAGGCCTTGGAGCCCCTGCAAGCTGGCGCAGTTAGGTGATGCCTGTGGTCCCTGCAAGAAGCCGAGGGATCACAGCTGCGAGGCCTGGCACCCTCCAACCCCAAGCTGCCCTCCTGGGCAGAGCTAGGCCAGAGTGGAAGGTAGAAGTGGGTGCCACCCAAGGAGGGACTTTCTAACAGTCCAGCTGTAGAGGGACCCTGTCCCCCTGTCCCAGCAGGTGGGTAAGCCCAGGTGGGGTGAGGTTACTCGAGAACACAAGATTTCGTGGATTTTCTGAACTGGTTTTGGAGACAGCTACTTCTTCCTCCTCCCTGAAGGGTCCTCGGTCCTAGACTAGCTATAGAGTGCCACCCATTGGGAGGTTGTCATTTCTTATTTCAACCTTCTGAATCACCAGGAGAGGCTACCTCAATTTCCAAATGAGTCTCAGAGAGGTTTAGCCACCAGGGCATGGTCACCAGCCAGAGCGGGGCAGAACCAGGAGGGCAACCAGGGAGTTGTGGGAGGGTGAGCCAGGCTCAGGGGTTGGCCTGGTCTCAGTGCCAGTCCCACTCTGGCTTCCACGCTGTGTGACCTAGGCAAGTAACTTCCCCTCTCCAAGCTTCTGCTCTCTTCTATAAAATGGAAGAGCACCCACCTCCATCCTTCAATAAGACTTGCAGTGCACAGGACCTCAGGACAACCAGGGAGTTGAGCGTGACCGTGCTGAGAGTGTCCGCTTATTTAACAATCATCTCTTCTGCTCCATCAGCCTCCTGGAACCACCATCGTCCTGTGTTTGAAGATCTCCGTGTGTGTCTCAATTTCGCCTGCCTTGTCAACAGTT